ACCGGGCCGGGCCTGGCCGGGCCCCCCCGCCGCCGGTGAGGGTGGAAACTGTCCTTGCAGAGGATGATGTTGCGCAGCTCCGTCACCATCTCTTGGCACACCGACACCTGCAAGGCAGACCCGAGGCGTACGGCTCACCCCGAGGAAGCTGAGAGCCCAGCAGTGCAGCCTCTGCTCTGGGTTCTGGGGACAAAGCGCCCCAGGCTCGGTCGCTCATCTGGCCCTTGGCTTTTGACACCAATATTCAGACATTTACACTTGATTTAGCCCAGCAGAGCCTGCCTCTTTCCAGACACCCTCCAGTGCTCTGGAACCCCAAATCGACACGGGACCCAAACCTATTGTGGGTAGAAATCCTCGGGTCATCCTGTCTCCAGGAAAGGTACCTGGATGTTGCACACATCCTCAATCCCTCCCACAGCCCTCAGAGCATCCCTACAGCCTTGACCCTAGCGGGAGTGCAGGAGAAGCTCACGCATTTTGAATGGGTTGCCCAGGGAGGGGGTTGAGGCCCCATCCCTGGGGGTCTTTAAGGCCAGGCTGGAGGAGGCTCTGGGCAGCCTGATCTAGTGGGAGGTGTCCCTACTCATGGCAGAGGGGTTGGAACTGCGGGATCCTTGTGGTCCCTTCTAGCCCTGACAGATTCTGATCTGTTTTAGCAGAGGACTTTAGAGCCCTAATGGCTCAATGGTTGGACCTGATGATCTTGGAGGTCTCTTCCAACCTAAAGGATTCTATGATTTTGGAGCCTGCCCAGTGCACCCAGCTGTCTCTTCTGTTCGAGGTCTCACCCCTACCAATGCCCATCTCATTGCTTCCTCCAGAGCACTGCACTGCTGAGCACCCTGCAGATAGCAACGAACACACATCATCCCCTCGGGACACTTCCAGGTCCTACCTCTGACTGTTCAGAGTGTCGAAGGCTCCACAAAAATTCCAGCATCGCCATAAAAATCGCTACGATTAAGCCACAGATGAGAACCACGAAGATTCCACCAATATTCTCCATTCCCAGGCCTGAAATAAAGCAGAAGGGACAATGCTGGGGAGAGGCAGACGCAGCATGGTGGCATCTACCCAGCCAGGGACCAAAGCCACATGGCCAGCACTGTCCTATTAATAACTAGCCACATGACTGGGATGGGCAACTGAATGACTTGCAATAACTGCACGATCGAAGGCGTGTTCTCAGAAAGGATGATTTTGCAGATCAACAGCAAGTGCATTGGAAGGAAGTACAAAGCAATTTGTGGACAAACTGAAAACAGGAGGAATAATGAGAGATCAATCGGGCACATTACTCCCTGCAAATTATTCACCCAGCTCTGGTTGCTTTGAACTTTGCAAAGGAAGATGAGCAATGTTGTTAGAAAAGCAGAGATGAAGACGACAAGAAAGGGCTTTAAAGGAAGCTGGCACCAAGAAAAACTCCTTTGATTGCATTACAAAGTGCTGGTGAGAAATGATTACAGCTGCTTGGATTGCAGCAGCAAGGCAAGGAAAGGTTCCAAGCAAGACCAGGGCCCAACACCGTTTCATGCTATACTGTGACCTCATGGGGTCCCTGCCACCCAGGGTTACCTGGTTTTGGGTCGGGTGCCTTCTGCCCAGCACCCTCTGGCCCACGAGGAGCAAACAGCCCCTTCCATGAGGTGACTCAGCTCACCTCCCTTGGACAACTTGCTTGCAATGGGGTGACTACCATCCTACTGATCACAGGAGCCTTTCAGCCACACACACAGAGACAGCCTCACTTGGGGAAGGGACTAAATCACACACAGAGCAGCTGCCAGCCCCGTCCTACACAGCTTGCACTCCAGAAAGCTCACCAGCTGGGTGGCAAATCCACCCCTCCAAAATCTGGCCTGAGCTTTCCACATGCAGAGGCTGTCGCTTTGCTTCCCACCGTGGCCCCTGTCCCCAAAACTGCAGGCTGTGCCTCCATGCAGCCCCTTGGAGCAGGACCCTGAGAGGAGCTGGGAAGCAGTGCTGGCTTCAGCACAATGTCCAAAAAAACATCTCTCCCCTCCTCTGCTTGCTGGGTTTGGGTCTCAAATGGGCTGGGCCCCTGATTGGATTGATTACTAAAAAGCTTGTGGTGCTTTGCACTGAGGTGACTGCACGAGGCCATTACTCAACAAGAATATCTATAAAAATCTTCCTCTCCCCTCTGCAGCATTAAATCAAAGTGCAAGAATCAATGATTTATTGACTTAATCTCTGCGTGGCTTTAGACATAAAATCTCACAGAAATCCTTGTAAATCGCTGACCTGTTTTGTTCTAAAACTTAGGAGGTCACATTTCTCCCTCCTCCTCCTCAGTCATTCTTTTGGCATCGCCTCCAGAGCAATCTAGTGACTCTGTAAATCAGCCCTTTGCAGAGACGTTTCCACTAAGAGAGCAATTGCAGGGCAGAAAACACAGCCCATATTCACAGTTTAGACCCAAGATAAAGGCCATCCCCTCCTCTCAGCAGCTCTCCACTTTGAATTTAGGGCCAGCACCTCTCTCTAACGATTTTTCTGTCATTCATCATTAGGGCCAGTACCAGCTCTTGAATGATCCTTTTTATCATTCTACCTGGGTGCCACCTCAGATACCCATTCCCAAGCTCACCAAGAGCTATTTTCTTCCCCCATATACATATACCAGCAAGCTACAGCCTTCCTAATTTCCCAGACTGAGAAAGTGAGCCATAACAGAGGGCACAGAACAGCAGAAAAGCTTGTCTAGGGTCACAGACTGCACCCAGCAGAGCCAGAGACAGCCCAGGAGCCTGCTTCCCAACCAACCCCATCCAAAACCACCCCAAAACAGCCCCCAGACTAGATTCCAGTTGTTTTTTTCACAATCTATGGAAAAATAAAAAAAGCCAACAAACTCCCACATGCCTGCTTCCCTTCAGAAATAACTTCTTTAAAAGCTCATTGCCTTGCCCTGAGGCCTGATGGGCCAACACTGGGCAAACAGCTCCTGCCTTGAGACTATCAACCCGGGTCTCAGCCAGCCTAGCTCATGATCTGCACAGGCACACCCCCCTACACCTGCTGCAATGTCCAGGAAACAAAAGAGCTACCGTGGACCCTCCTTGACTCTCTGTCTCTGCACTCAGAAAGGTCACAAGACTGTCCTTGCAACTGGGGGACCTGCTGGCCTCCCAGAAAACACTTGCTGAGAGAAGGGCGACTGCCAAAACTAAAAAATGCAGCGACTGCAGCAAGCTGGCAACTGCTGTCACTCTGGGACATCAGCCTAATGTGGTAGCTTTTATGGCAATTTGCATAGCATTACCCAAAAGAATTTGCTCCTCAGTTTACAGATGTACTAATAAAGTCCTTGTGTCCCTTCCCCTGCCTGTTTAAAAGCCACTTTCACTCGGAGCCATTAACCAGCGGGCCTGGGGTGGAGATCCATTTCCTCTGAAGGAACCCAGGATTTTGGTCTGATCCCCTTAGCCATCCATTTTCCCAGACATTCATTAGAAGCTAATTTACCCTCCATATGCCTCCAATATTTGTCATTTGGTTGTTCCCGCTATCTCTGCCCCAGGCAAAAACACACAGCGTGAGGCACAGCAGAGCTCTTTGGCTTTCTCCTTGAATGGTGAGGGAAGGAATCCCAGGTCAGAAGAAGGGGAAAGAGAATTCTCAAGCAGAAAACCTGGCAGCACTCCTGTGCAGATGGACGTTTATCCTTGCACTGCTGGGCAAGGATGCTTCCCCTGCTTGGTCCCTTCAGGACATGGCTGGAGAGCAGCGTGGCCTTACCTTTGGCTCTGTGGTCCTCCTCTTTGGGGCACTTGCCTCCTTCCCACCACTTCCTCTTCAAGATCTCCAGCCTGTTGTTCTCTTGCAGCTGGAGAATGGCCAGGTCAAACTCGTCACGAAACACAGAGCCTGCAAAACCAGGAGGAAGGTGGTAAGACACAACCTTGGCCAGGCTTCCTCCCTGCTCAGCCCTGCCACGGTGCCCAGCTACACGAGCTCAGCTTTCAACAGCTTGGAAGGGACTTGGGTCCACGTGAACCCCTGAAACCTGTGGCTGCCCTGCTGGGACTGTCAACTGGGTGATGTCATTTGCAGACATTAATTTTGCTTGTCCACCAAGACCCACACAGGCTATTTAAAGAGAGAGAGAGAGAGTTTACCAAGTGGAGTTTTGGATTCAGGGCAGGATCACAGTTCAGTATCACACCTGCCCCTCCACTCCACAGAGATCCCTCTCCTGTCATTCTGCCTCCAACTTCAGCCTTGCTTGAACCTCCTCCCCTCAAACTGGTGGACAGCAGCAGCAGCAGGTTCAACCTACATGGATGCCCAAATGTCCATGGTGGAGGAGGCTCAGTCTGCTGCAGCCTTGATGATGTCTGCTAGCAGAGATCCCAAAGAAAGGCCGTGGGAAAGACCCTGGTTCTCCTGGTAACTCTGCACTATTGTCCCAGCCAGCAGCTTTCTGCTCTTATCTGCTACAGTTTCACTGCTCAACATGACAATGTCAGAACAAATTTAGTCCTCAAAGTCGGGATTTGTCCTCACAATCGGGTTACTGTGACTTTACAAGCCTATGCATGTTAGCTAGAGGAGAGTGACTGTTTGTGTGACGATTCTTATGTAATTCACCTTAACTTTGTCTTGCTAAGTGCAGGTACTTAAAGGTCAGGAACAAGGCTGCTTGAGCCTGCCAGGCTGGCCCAAAGATCAGCCGATAGCTTGGAATAACAACTACTACATCTCTTTTCTGTGCTGTCCTGTTCTCTTACCAGCTCTCATCTTTGAAAGACAAAACCCCTGCATTTGTTCAACCTGATTATTAGCTGAGATAGTCACTGAATTGCCCAATTCTCTATCCCGGAGTCTGAAGAACCATCAGCTGTTAAAGAAACTTGTGCTAAAAACTACAAGAGTTGCAACAGCGTTACTGAGAGGAAACAAGCACCAAACGATTCAAACCCACTGGTTCAAAAGGGAAACAGTCATCAATGAGCATACACGCAGAAAATCAGCAGCAATTTTGAAACATCGTTCACATTAAGAGCCGCAGCCGCGTGTCACAGGGCTCTGGACCAGAGCAGGGTCTTCACATCTGGCTCTGAGCACACACCTCGGGGCAATTTCAAGCTGTTGTCGGGGATTTTCCTCCCGAGATGAGAGGGGGAAAAAAAAAAAACAAAAACACCAAACCACGACCCTGAGCCGAGCTGTGAAACGTGACATTGGCTTTAGAGCCGGTTTACAGCCTTTCAAACGCTCCGGTCCTCTGCTGCACAGCCGAGAAGGACTAGAATTTTTCTTCACTGCCTACCGACGGGCATGCCAATCCCGTAGCCCTTGGTGTCCAGAAGGCCCCCGACCTGCGTGAGGTTGCAATTGCGCTGCCGATAATACTCGTTCATGGTGGACTCCAGCAGGAAGGCGTAATTGGAGTTCAGCACGCGGGCGATCCCCTCCTCCGTGCTCTTCACGAACACGCTGGGCTGCTTGGAGTACATGTAGTTCCACATCCGCTGGTACGTCTGGTAGCGGGAGTTCTGCGGGAGGAAAGAGCCCGGTGCAGCCCAAGGGGGAGGGTCTTGCTGCTACACCAACCCCCGACTGCGTGCTGCTAGGAAAAGGTCACCACGGGGAGAAGAGGCACAGCAGCTTGGTACCCGATTCCAAAGGGATAGAGATCACAGAATCCTTGAGGTTGGAAGAGATTAAGATCATCAAGTCCAACCATTAAGCCAACACTACGAAAGTCTTCTCCTAAAACAGATCAGAATCTGTCAGGGTTGGAAGGGACCACAAGGATCCCCCAGTTCCAACCCCTCTGCCATGAGCAGGGACACCTCCCACTAGATCAGGCTGCCCAGAGCCTCCTCCAGCCTGGCCTTAAAGACCCCCAGGGATGGGGCCTCAACCACCTCCCTGGGCAACCCCTTCCAGGGTCTCACCACTCTCATGGGGAAGAACTTCTTCCTCACATCCAGCCTGAATCTGCCCACTGCCAGCTTTGCCCCATTCCCCCTAGTCCTGTCATTACCCGATATCCCAAAAAGTCCCTCCCTCCATTTATTTCAATGAGATTTAGAAGCCCAAATATCTTTAGTGGATTCGAGACATTGCTGGCAGGGCTGGGCATGAAATGCCAATAGGTTCCAGCAAAGCTCTTTGCATAAATTCCATTTTAGAAAAATGCATAGTTTCCACAGCAGTATATCAAAACCACATAAAAAAGACAGAAGAAATAGCTTGTGCTTGGCTGATTTAAACCACCAAGTGCTCCCTGTAGAGCTCACACCCTATTGTCTGTCACTGTAGCCTCGTGCTTGACAGGTCACCAGCACCAGAACGAGACATCATCCCCTCCTGAGAAGGGTGCTGAGGGCTGGGAGCAGCACCAAAGCACTTTGGAGTTTGTTACTCCCTGAATCTGGATTTTGGTTCACTCTCTAGTGAGGCAAATCAAATGACCTACTTAAGAGGGCTGGACTCTTTTCATTGACTACAGTAAAGTAGAGCTCAACTAGCCCCAAATCCTCAAACTTTGCTGATGACTGAACCCACCTCATTGTTTGGGGGAGAACGCTGACTACTGCTCATGTCTTTTGCTTGTGGTGAGGAAAGGGTGAAACCTGCCTGCACAAGGACTGCAGATACACACTCTGGTCTACATTAGGAGTTTCTGAATTTGCCCCTCTCCTGCAGCATGCAGAATCCTTCACACCACCTCCTCTCCCAGCCAAGGCAGCAGGTCCAGGGCGTGCTGCCAGGCAGCCCCTGCCATCACACTCCTGAGGGCTGGTGAGTGATGCTGGAGAGCCTCAGGGAATCTGCTGCTGCCCTAGTCACTGTCCTCACCTGTCCAGCTTTGTCCTCTGGGTGAGGTCAGACCAAGGGGGTGTGTTGTTTGCTCCCATTTCACAGCACTTTCACCCCCTAACCTTGTGGGTTACCCTCAGGGGAAAGAGCTGCCAGGAGAGGTCCCAGGGCAAGGTACTCCAGCAGCAGGCAAACACCTCATGACACCAGGAACCGTGGGGTGGTGAAGAGAGCCTGAACCTTTCCTGCTTCATCCATCCCTGTGTTTGACCCACCATCATCACACCAGATGGATGCCCATGTCATTTCAAGCATTGCAAATGGCACAGGAACATCTTTTGCTAATTTCTTCTCTGATACCAGTGGCCCCAGCGCTCGCCAGGCAGCACAGAGCCACAGTCAGGATCTTAAACTTGAAAGCCTCCCTGAAAAGAACTGAGTGAGTGCCTTCTATAAAACCACCTTAGCCACTTGGGCTCTGTTCAGCTCATTTTAGATGTAACGTTCTGCTTAAAAGTAGCTTTTTGCCAAACCCCTGAAGGGTGTAAAGTTCGGTTGAAAAGCTCAGGCTCACTCGAGAGATTTCTCAGGCTTCCTAATTCAGTTCAGACTCAGAGGGAGGAAAAAGTGAGAAAAGCTTTCTCTCCTCTCAGAATTTCAACAAGTAATAAATAAATAATCCTTAAGCCGTTCTTTGTGCGTTCAGAGCACTGCAGAAAAGATTCACTCATTTATTTCCCTTCTGAATAGAGCAGGGAAGATAAAAATGAAATTGGGCTAAATGGCCTGCCTAAGTTGGCATACACTAAACTGACTTGTTTGGAGTGCCACTGACCACATAAAGGCTACAGCCCTTTGACACGTGCTAGCCCACCTGGGGTTTGCAAAGGTTTCTTTGCTTACCCAACCTGAGACTCTCATGTAAAAAGCTAACATCACACCACAACTGCCTAGAAAACCATGGAAATTGGACTGCAAATGCTCCTCTGCTGAAGACACTCTTAGTGCATCACTGTGACATAACCATGAGGACCACTTTCCCACCCACCTAGTGACACTCCCAAGTGTTAAGCTGGCTTTTGAAGTGCAAGCAGGAAGGTCTGCTGCTCCAGGGTCCAGCACAGAGGTCCTGAAGCTAGTCCTCCAGCACCACAAGGGTATTCCAGCTGCTGTGACACAAAACCCTGCCTTCCCTACCATCCATCCTGCCACCACCCGCTGCGGACCTAGCCCAGCCCTGTGCAACCAAGGTCTCTCTAGAGGTTCCCTCTGTGCCAGAAACCAGAATAACCCAGGCACGAGAGGCTGGGGAGGGATCTAACTCTGATGAAAGGGTGCCCTCTGCACCGCCTGCCCCAGTGAGCACAGGAAGGGGGTTTACTTGGAAGAAGGTCATGCTGGAGCCCCCGTGGATGGTGCCGTATTCGATGGCTGTCTGGTCGGCCAGGTCATCCACGGACTCGATGGGCACGTCCATGCGCTGCACGGTGAGGAAGGCTGCCAGGTTGGCCGTGTAGGAGGAGATGATGATCAAGGTGAACGCCCACCTAGGAAGCCAAGACACTGATCTCAGATTTCCCCACAGATTGGATCCCATCTCCACCCCCACCCTCTGCTTCTCCACCTGCCTTTGGCCAGAGAAGCCTCCTCCTTACCAGACTCCACTGACACAGCGTGTGGATAATGCTTGGGGGGCAATGGTGGAGCCTTGCTGCATGAATCCCCCGACTGGAAACCACAAGCTGTTGCCCAGGGAGTACTGATTCACCAGCAGATTGCATCTGCCTTGGGAGCAGGGGTGGGGGCTGTACCACTCGTAAGGCGTCAATCTAAAATGACAAGAAACAGTAGCTCAGGTAATTCACCCAGAAATGGGGCACTTTGGAGACAAAAAGCAAAAAAAAAAAAAAAAAAAAAAAAAAAAAAAAAAAAAATATAGAAAAGTTGTAAAGCCCTAACTCTCCTCCAGGCAGATTTTTCTGAGAAGGAAGCTCTTTGCTGTCAAGTGATGCCCAGGGCTCAGAGCTGGGTGAAAGGCTTGCTCTAAGACTCAGGAGCCAGAGGCTTTCTTAGTAAAGATTTGCAAAAGTTTTGAGAGGCTCTGCTGAAAATCTGGGCAGGGGCTGCGGGGAGGCTGTTGCCCTGCGTGCAAAAAAACAAGCACAACAAGAACTCCAAACGTTCACAGGCTTGATGTGAAATTGAAATGGAACATCCTTCTTTGTGTCCCCTGCTGGAGAATAAGCATTAATGGGAAGTTCAAAAGTGAAGTGTGAGAGTCCTGACTGCATGGCACCACTGAGAGAGAGAACTGTGCTGGTGCAAGGGGTTGCTCTGAGAAAGTCTGGTCGCCCTGGCAAAGGCCAGGTCTAAAAATCTCAGGTCTAAAAATCCCAGGTCTAATTTGAAGCCAAGTACTGGTATTTCAAGCATTATGTGCTTTCAGTGCTCACAGGGACAGGACAGAAATGGGAGTCTGAAATAACTGAGAGCCTGTCACTGAAGGGACTGTAGGCTTGCTCTCTTTTTTCCCTGTTTCCAATCCTCAGTTCCCTCGTTGCTAAGAAAGTCTTCTAAATGCTGTGCTGCAGTTCATTATATTGCTAATGGTTAACGAAGCTGAGGCCTGAGAGGGTCATGCTGGAGTTACTGCCAGTGCAGCTGCAGGGCTCTGCCAGCTCATGCAGCATTTAACCAAAATGAGGGGTTTATTTTCATTTCTGCATCTCCTCCCTCACCGAGAGACCAGTGAGGTGAAGGCTGTTTCCTGAGGACTTTCTTTGGCTGGCTCAAGAACTGGCAGTAAAAAGCACTGCTCTGGGAGAGCCTTCTGCAATTCCCGTGGTCAAAAGCTCCTTAACTGCTGAGAAAGGCAGAGAGCAGTGCCCAAACCACCATCTCCAAGTAGGAAGCTGTGTAAAGGCACCTTTTTGGAGGATCATATTTAAAATGTCAGGAAGGGGCTGAAGAGGCACCAAATCTCAGTCTGCAGAGAGCAGGCTGCTTTAATCAATGGTTCCTTCAGAGCTCTGCTGCTGAGGCTGTAACAGCATTTGAAGAAACCATTACAGCCCTGTCAGGATGACAACTTTAGCCACGCCAAGGACTGAGTGGCAGCACAGTTCCAAGTTTTGTGATGAGAATTGGGTATTAACCACATCCCGAAAGAGCCGTCAAGCCCCGAGCACACCTTCTGTCCACATTGCCAGGACACAGCTCAGCTCTGCCTGAAAAGGTCCATCTATGCCACCAACCTCAAGCAGAAGGTCGTGGAAAACTGCAGTGGAGCACAGACCCTTGGCCTCAGTGGGAGACACGCTGTAGACAAGCACTTCAGTGATATAATTTAAGGCTCATTTAAATTAGTCCTAGGGAAAGGGAACTGAGAGCTGTCAAGTTCTCTGTACATAAACCAAGACGCTGTGGAAAGATCTTAACCAACTTTCTTTTTCTGTACACACTGGCTTTTAAAGGGCCAGAGGAGCCAAACACCACTACTGAAACTTGCATTACTATCTCTGTGATCATGTTCATCAGTCCCTGCCAACCTCCACCCTTCCCGGCCAGGGCAAGCGCTTGGTTTGCTCCATTTGCCTGCTGCAGATGAGGTGCCTAGAGGGAGCAGCACCATTTAGAATCATAGAATCCTTTAGGTTGGAAGGGACCTCCAAGATCATCAAGTCCAACCATTGAGCCATTAGGGCTCTAAAGTCCTCTGCTAAAACAGATCAGAATCTGGCAGGGCTGGAAGGGACCACAAGGATCCCCCAGTTCCAACCCCTCTGCCCTGAGCAGGGACACCTCCCACTAGATCAGGCTGCCCAGAGCCTCCTCCAGCCTGGCCTTAAAGACCCCCAGGGATGGGGCCTCAACCCCCTCCCTGGGCAACCCATGCCAGGGTCTCACCACTCTCCTGGGGAAGAACTTCTTCCTCACATCCAGCCTGAATCTGCCACTGCCAGCTTTGCCCCATTCCCTCTTGTTCTGTTGTTACTCGATATCCTAAAAAGTCCCTCCCCAGCTTTCTTGTAGGCCCCCCTAAGATACTGGAAGGCCCAGGACTTCTCCCACGCCGCCTGCCACCCTTCCCATGCAGCTCTCAGCACGGGCAGCCCCCCTGTCACAGCCATGCCAAGGGGGCTGCCATCCGCATCGGCGACGTGCCCACGCGGGCAAAGCCCCGGTGCCGGCTGGTGGAGGGCAGGGGGCTGGGGTGCTTCTGCCCCCCTCCCCAGCCGTGCCTGGGCCACGTCCCCGTGTCCCCAGCCCCTCACCACGTGTCCCCACCCACGGGTCGGGAGCGTGACGCTAGATGGCATCGCGGGGAAGGGAAAGGCACCGCCAGCCACCTTACCGAGCCACCAAGAAGAGAACGCAGCTGACAGCCAGGTAGGCGAGGAGCATGAAGAGCCAGACACCAGGGGAAAAGGGATCCAGGAAGGAGAAGTAGCCAGGTTTCCGACCCTGGAAGGCAAACAAGGAATAAGAGTTTGATCTGCTTGTGTTTCTACAAATGAAACAGTCCATTCGGAAAACAACAGGAAGAAACACGCCTGCCAAGAAGGGAGATGAAGGGAATGGGGCTTGGCAAAAGGGGAAAGAAAGGCAACAAATGACCCAGTCCTGCAGCATCTCCCAGCTGGGGTTCCTCTTCTAAGATCATTCTCACCCCCACCTCAATCACTTTTGTCCCTCTGGGCAAAGCAAGAGGTGACTGACAGAAGGGCCAAGCCCCTCGCAGCTCCCCAGGGTAGGATGTGCTGCATCCCTCACCTGCAGGGTCTCCAAGGGGGGGGTGTCCCCATCTGCAGCCCTTGCCCACCCAGGCAGGCTGCACAGCAGCTTGCTGGGCAGGAGGAGCACGCCTGAGCTCAGAGGTGGGTGGGATCCTCTGCACGAAGCAGAGTGGGGAGAAAAATATTTTTGAGCAAGAAAAAAACAAAGAAAAAGACATTTGCAATATTTCTGGTTTTCTTTCTTCAGCCTTGAAATGCTTCTTCTCTAAAAAGCTCAATAGAATTATTACTTTTATCTCAGAGAACATGATATTTTTATCTCTAGGATGCATCAGAATTTCCTGGGTGTTTTTTTCTCTGCAAACCACCTTTCCTTGAAAAGTAACGCCTTGCTGCTAGGAAAAGCAGACTGGTTGTCTCTCAAAGTACTTTAGATTTTTACAAGGACACTGCCACCACTGAAATCTTGTCAAACGTAGCAAAATACAAAGGGAACATTAATTCCTAGGAGAAGTTTCTCAAAAGCTGAACATGTCCCATTTTGGTGACTGCACCTCTCCCACCACCACCACCTCTGTGTATTCATCTCCTCCCCAACACAACCTCCTGCAGGGCAGGGGAAGAGCAGCCACTAATGTACCTCCAAGCACACTCAACACCCTCGTGGGGGACAAGGCAAGAGGTGAACACAGAGCACAAGCCACAGGACCAAAGAAGAGCTCTTCTGCTCTCTGGGCCACTTGCAATGCCCATGCAGAGCAGAAAGTGCTTGGTTTCAGCACTCTGCTCCCCTCTCACACCCCTAAAGCTGCCAGGGCAGTGCTCATCGACCTCAGGCACCTTCTCAACCTCTGCAGCCTCCCACAGCACCTGTAACCAGGAAGCTGCCCACGAGCCAGAGCTCCTGCAAAAGCTTTTTCCTGCTAGGTCAGAGTGGAAACAGCCTTTTCTCACATCTCAGCAGGTTTCTGACTGGCACCTCGCTCTGCTGGAAACATCTCTCCCTGTTTGCTGGGTGCAGCTCACTCCAGCAGCCCTTCCCCAGTGGCTGCTCCTCTGCAGGTTGCTCACTTGACACAGATGCTGCTGCCAGGGATCATCTCTGGCACACAGAGGCCTCGTTTTTCCCTGTCCTGCAGCCTGTCTGTGACACCACATAAACTAATGATAGCTAATGATAGCTAATAAATAACAGCTAACCTCAATTGCCCCATTGTCATAGCAAAACCAGAGCCAAAGATCACAAATCCAAAGGCACTGAATCATTTTCTGTTTTCACAAACACCTCAAAGAAACACAGTTATTGGGTTTTTTCTTCCTAGCCCAGATGCAGACCAGTGCTTGACATCCCATTTCCATTTAAAACCTCACTGTTTTACTACTGAAGTATTCCTATCTTAAGGAAAACGTGCATTTCACAAGGCTTTGGTAGTTCTTCTGGAGACTAAGTTGTTGCTAGAATAGGCAGGATTTGTTGCACAGAAATCTTCCTCTACTAAAAATATCTAGGCTACTGTGATATTCTCAGCTCTAGTCACCAGCTGGGACTGGAGCAGCTCAGAAACCTTCTACAGCAAAGTCTGTCCTCTGCATGGAGTGAAGAATCACCACACCCTAACATCCTATCCCTGTATCCTTCAGGACAAGATGAATTTGAGCTTGGGATCTACATCAGCATATTTAGATAGTCTGGCTTATTAAGCATTTTAACAAAGAGATGACTTTTAAGAATCAATGGTTCAGACCATCCTGCACCCATTTTCAGATTCAAGTCCCTTCCCAAGCAAAAGCAAGGAGACAAATGGTTCCTACAGCCAGCATCTGGGCCCAAAACAAGGGCTCCAGAGCCAGAGACACTGCTGGAAACTACACCCATCATCCTGGCAGGACTCACAGTTCCAGGAAGATCCTTTGCTCGCCTTGCTTAGAGCTCCTCTCACTAGTTCAGAGAGCTGAGACCATCTCAGGAGTCTGCAGGCTCCAGGGGCAGCCCCCTACACATCTTGTTGGTGCCATCCAGAGGACTACAGACTTCTTGATGCCAAGAGCAAGCCAAAGGCAGGCATTGTTCAAGCTCTCTTTAGCAACAGCATGGCTTTCCTGGATGCCCCACAGGCCCTTGTTTCCCTTCTTCATCCAGAACTAATCTGGCTCAGCCGCCTCTCTTCTTCCAGAGTTGTTTACACACTCAAAAATGAAATGAGACAATGGGAACCTGCAAGGTGTGAAGAGCACAGTTTGCCTTCAGCCAAGCAAACGGGAGCTTCTTGAGCTCCAGTGGAGAGCTTGAGCTTGTTCCAGGTGGCTTCTCCCTCCCCAGCATCCCAGAGCTGGCAGGAAATTCCGAGCCACTGGCAGCACCTTGGCTGTGGCTCCCTCACGAGATGCTCCTGTAACAAAGTTCCTCTCTGTAATTAAGGCCTCGATGTCTTCTCTGTGTTTCTGGGGCAGTTTGTCAATAAATTATGCTCATTAAGGAAATTGCGTTGGAAGCTTTAAGTCTCAGGCTTGGCAATGACTCTCTCCTGTGACTTTACAGTAGTAGTAGTTCTGGTTCTTTTCAGCTACAGGCATTTTCAGGCTGCTGCTACATATTCTCTTCATTCACAGTTGTGGATAAGAATAAAGATATTCTGTTCCCACAGAGGGCACAAACTCTCTCTTATCTGTCTGTTTTGAAGATGGGAATGACAATATCTGGAGTCTGTCAGATATTTTTAGCTGGTCCCAAAACAGCTTTGTTAATTGGAAGAGCTATTTTTCCTGGAATAGAAATGTTCAAAATGTCCAATAATTGATGAAGGTCTCCTGCAAATCCTCAGATGGGAGCAGGAGAGATTCATTTACCCTCCTCAGTCATTCTTAGAGGTCTGCATTTGCAGGCAAAGAGAACCAGTTTTCTGGGCAGATACTGGTGAGCAAAGAGCCTGAACATGCAGGACATCCAGGGAGAGGTGGAGGAGCAGAGCTACGTGGCGTGGTCCTGGATTTGTCTTCAGGTCCATAAAAGACCTCACGACTCCCTGCCTGCCTTGCACAGACAGAGTTGAAAGTCAGCCCGACATGTGTCATTTCTCATAGATCTTTGTCCCTAAAAATGGCAGGCAAGAGAACTCTCCTCTGCAAGTCAGAAGGAAAGCAAGAAATCCCAGCCTCAAAAGGCAGAAATGTTGATGAGTCTCAGGTCCAACTGCAATGCATCTGGTCTCCCCAAATCAAAGCATGGCCATTACAGGATGACCATGCCTGATCCAGACACAGATCCCTCTCCCAGGTCACAGAATCATGGAATGTTAGGGGTTGGAAGGGACCTCTGGAGATCGAGTCCAACCCCCTCCTCCTCAGCTCCTCTGCCAAGCCTCCTGTGGCTGGAGTGAAGGAGCTTTTCATTCAGTCCTTCCCATTTGATGTCTTCTGCAGCAGTCATGTAGAAACACTTTAAGCCTCAGCTCACTTGGCCTATTCCAGTGTACTCATCATTTCATCTTAAGGTAGGGCACAGTGAGGACCTTCAGGGCTGATGAGCCAGAAGCACGTGCTGGCTAGTCCCCTGTTCCCTGACATAGAGGCACGTGTGTGAGCAAAAGCATGTGTGTGCTACAAATAAACCCAACTTTCAACATCCCTCTGTGCAGAAATGGTACTGGGCACCTGATTTCAGCCTTCTGCCAAGCCCAGTGACTGCTGAGGACTCCCCATCTATCTCCTGCCTTCCACAGGTCCCACCAGTTGGTCAGAATGGGAGCACATTCAAACAAAACAAGCCTTTTCTCTTAGCAGCCTGCAAGTCAGAGAGCCCATTAGAGGGCCTGTGTCAGAAATCCATACTTGATTATATCACAACATGGGAAATTGAGAAAAATGACAGCCCCATTTAAAGCTGCCATATTTGGTTATGTGTGATAAGAGACACAAGCACCGTGGTGGCTGGGTGGGGAGGAGAAAGGGGGAGAAATCATTTACCACTGGAGTTACATGGAAATTTAAACCCAACGTCATCACACTGGGAAGAAAACAGGGCTTGGAGGCAACCCCTCAGCAAGAGAGGTATTTGTGGTTATTTATTAGGCTGCGTTTGATCAGTGCTGTGATTAACACACCTCAGCTGCAGTTTTTGACCCTGCAGAGATGTTTGTTGGGGTGGGGAAGGGAGGGGGTAGGAGCAGATGGGGCTGTGGGGCTGCCTTCCCCTGCTCTGCAAACTACGTCCTTCAAGGAAAACCAGAGCAATTAACTACCTTGTTAAATAAATATTTACCAGTTGAAGAAGTTAATTGTCTCTCCTCAAGCTAAGCAGGGAAGGTCTGGACAAAGAGAACCGAGGGATGGAGAGGGGAGGGAGAGCTCCCTGCTGCTCAGGAGGGCCTGAGCCCAGGTTTTCCCTGCCATGGCTCCTCATCACCTTGATGCAGCCAAGCAGGACTCTCTGCAAGGTGACCTGAGCTGGGAGGTGCTCAGCATCTCCCTTGCCAGCCTGCCTGGGTCACTGGGCAGCTTCTTTACTCACAGCCCTCACTGTGTCCTTCATCGGGCAGCTGACGACCAAGCCCTGACCCACAGCAGGAGTCAACACTCTTAAAAACTGTAATTATGAGTCCTGCTCACTCTGGTAAGTGCCTGAAGGGCAGGAACATGCCTGTGCTGTGTTACTGTGGTGTCAGTGCAAGCAGCAGATGGTCCCTGCCCTGAAGAACTGACACTCTCAGCAGATGTGTCAGACACGTTTGTACTGAGCTTGCACAGAGGCAGCAGCAGCAAATCCCTTGCACTTACAGAGCAGACACATGCAAACCTCCACCACTGCCCCAGCCAAGAGAGACTGAAACACATCCCAGATCCATGGGGCAGCTGGAGGTGTGAAAAAGCAAGTTGGGGGGCACGGACAGTTAGAAATTATTTATGTAGGCTTGAAGAGTCTGACCCTTTATGACCAGTTAAGGCCTTGATCCTAAATTCTGCCTGTACCAGAGGAAACAGAATTTTAGCTAGATTGCAATTCCTTGTTCTTAGCAGGAGCCACTCAGCCCAGAGAGATGCCTGTGCAAGTTTATGTCCACACCAAACGCTGCATCCTTGACAGCCTTCTGAATGGAGAAGGGGCTGCAAGAGGCAAAAATATCATGGTTTTATCCATTTGGCTGCTACTATTGAGCCTGCCCTGCCTTTCAGGTGGCCGTGGCTACCCTGCTGCTGCTGCTGGAGCTGCAAAACATCACTGCACACAGCAGAGAGAGAACCAGAGCTAGCTGCTGAACAACAGTGTGTGCCTCCCCTTCTTGCTCCTCCCTGGCCAGTGTGGAAGCAAGGGGGTCTGAGAGCACCCTAAGAGCAAGGAGCCCCCCTTGGCCTGCAGGGCTGCTGATCTTTAGGGTGAACATCTGAAAAGAGGGAGATGAGGAGTGCTGAGAGCACAGAAACAGAGCCCATGCAGGGCAAGGAGCTAACAGCCCATGGCAGAGCTCAGCCTGCCACCCTGCCCGCCCCAGGGTCGTGCCCTGGGCCACTGAAGGAATGCCATCTTGCCCTTTTCCTGCCTGTCATTAAGAAAGCAGAGGACTAATCTGTGTGTAGAGCATTTACAGGAGGTCATGGCAAAGGAAGAGGTACCACATCTATCTTCCTGGCCTGATCTTACATCCCAGATGTGAGAAGGCAGCAAGGCTGCACGCCACAGAGGTTGGGAACACAGCTGAGATGAGGGCATTGGGGTCCCAGCACCAGCTAGGTGCATCCAAAGATATCCCAGCTCAGCCTCCCCACTAAGTGTGAGTGGAAAGTGACTCCAAGCCAGGCTTGGTGCAGTTGTGGACCCACCCAGCCCAGCCTGCCCCTACCACAGGGAGCTCAAAGCCCTGCTCCAGCCACCCAGTGGCTTTTGCTGGGCCTGAAGCAGAGGCAGAGAAGCTGACATCTACCCACACCTCCCCTGGTACTGCTCATCTGGCAGGGTGCTGCTCACAGCTCCTCCTCATGCCAGGAAGCATCACGTGCCTGGTGAGGAGAGAGAAGGGGAGCCAACAAGGCCCAGGGTTTGAACCATGGGAATTGAATCCATCAAGCTGACACAAGGCAGAAAGAGAGAGAAAGAAAGAAATAAAGGTTGGGCACATTTGCGTTTAAATAAGAAATCAAAATATTTTATGAGTCATTCATTTTTCTTCTATAACGGGGCACGTTTGCATGCAAATAATGGAGGGATATAAATGGTTATAAAATAAGTCTCTTACCATATGAACTCGGTAGAGGATGCTAATTCCCAGAGTCATGAATGGCTTGGAGAAATCAATCACCTTCTCCCTCTCGGCGGTGATCGTCAGCTAGGAAAAACCAATCCCCTCCCCCCTCTCGGCGGTGATCGTCAGCCCCGCCACGGCCAAATCCGCCTTCTGGGGAGAAAAACAGCAGTGCAGATCAAAACCCTGAGCCCAGGAAGTGTGTGGGGCCACTCCTGCCACCCCCTCCTGCAGGATGGAAGGCCCATCTTTCTGGGATGGGATGCATTTGCAAAGGCCCAGTGGAAGCTGCAGGAGTGGTGCTGGTGATGTCCAGCAGTTGGGACTGTGCTCCCACCAACCTCTCCCCACGTGGGTTCTGCATAAACCATGCTCAAACACTCCAAAGTTTAACCCATCCTGTGCTCCATCGTTCTCCCTGCTTTTCCTTTCCTCACCTGGATGGTTTTCTATCTGTACTTAGAGGTTGGAAAAGTCCCAAGCTCCCAGTGGGAAGCTCACTGTGCTAGGAGCTGTATCAAACAGCAAACAAAAGGGCAGCCCCTGCCTCCAGGTGCTCCCAGCCTGATGGTCATTTCCACGCAGGGAATGCTTAAAAACCTGGCCAAAACAGGAGCCATGGAGACAATAAATGTTCTACTAACCCAGCCATACAACCTCCCTCTTCCAAAGCCCCTGTTGGACACAGCTGTCCCCTTCCAGATGAGACTGTCACCACAAGCACTATGGTTTTGTCACCACCAAAGTGGAAGAAAGCAGCAGCATTACCCCCACATTCTCAGTTGTGAGGTTTACAAGCCTGCCAGCCTCAGACTTCCAAAACTGCAGATCAGTTTCCAAAAAAATTCAGAGGACTGGCATCAAAATTTCCAGACTGGCTTGCAAAGCAAATAAGATTGGGGGGGAAAAAAATAAAAATAATTTCTTCCACTGTTAATACTCTTGTAATAGAGATAAGGGATTTGAATTTTAAATATTATTTTTATTACTATAGCTCTTTTAATGTCTGTAATTGCTTTCTGTAAAAATGAAACCACCTCCATTCCCTCACAAATTTGTTTGCCTGCTTTGCAGGATGATGATTATGCAAGCAGAAAAAGAGAAAGGAAGGGAAAGAAAAGCTATTTGCACTGCTTGTCCCTAAGTTTCATAAGGTCTGTGCAGAAGCCAAGGCATCATCAGGCCCCGAGACCCAGACAAATAAGGAGCTTATCTCCCTGGATCCACGTGCTAGTTGTAAATGCACCACACAAAGGCAACTCTGTGGGTGCATCACTCTCACCCTGCTCTCTGAAGCTGCTGCTCCTGCAGGATTTTCCTCAAGAGGACTAATCACCTCTTGGCAGAGCTTTGCCAGGGGGTCTTTCTGCTCCCCCTGCAAAGTCTTGCCCACCTAAAGCAGGCAGGGCCAGCAAAAGGCTGGAGAAAAGAGGGGAGAGCAGCACTGCTGGAAAAGGGAGAAGAAAGCCAAGGTGGTCTGCAAGCCTGCCCAGTAAGGGGGTCCCAGTGAAGGGGCTACTGCACAGCCCATGCAGGATTTGCTTTATTGGATGAGCCCAGTGCCAGATCTTTGCAATTGTTTCCAAGCAGCTATTACAGATCCTAGGAGGTTCAGGCTGGAATGAATTATGAGCTAGGGAGAATTTCTGCCTAGCCAGACATTTACCCACAGGGCTTTTAACAGGCACCAATAATCACAACGTGGTGCGTAAGCAGTTGAGCCCTATGTAAACACCAGCAAATTGCTAAGATGGGATCAGTTCATCTGTGGAATATGGCACGTGAGGAATTTTATCTGCAAGAAAAGCCTAAAGTTGCCTAAACCTCTTGTCTATACTTAAGAATTTGCAGGTACTGCTGTCCTGGGGAGCCCCTCATGAAGACACAGCTCATTCTAACAACGGATGTCTTCTCCCAGTCCTCCCAACTGATTACCATTCTACCAGCAATCAAAGCTGCTCCATGCTAAAGCTCCAAGGACGTTTCCATTCCCACCCAGGGGCCAACACAACGGAGCTGAGTGGAGCAGCACAGCCCTCAGGTTTACCCAGCTAAGTCACCATCCCTTGTGAGCCCCCAGCTTCTCAGGGGTGGGACGTGGATGCCACCAGGGAACTTCGTGCACTCCACTTATTCCCTTAACTATCATCCTTTGGGGCCTTTCCAGAACATGCAGACAGGAACATCTTGAAAGCTGCTCTTCCCTATGCAAAACAGAGTGGCAACCCATCCCCCTCCCATTGCCTCCAGAGCAGGAGCTCAGCACACCACATCTGACTTCCCCAGGCACCCAGCTTTTGTGCTGAGGTCCCTTCTCCTGTCTCCAGAGGGTCTTGCCATTTCATTAGAGTCATAGAACATCTGGGCTGGAAGGGCCCTCCAAAGGTCATCCCATCCATCTGCCCCCTGCCACAAGCAGGGACATCTGCAACTAGATCAAGCTGCTCAGAGCTTCATCCAGCCAGATCTGTGATGTCCCCAGGGATGGGGCCTCCACCACCTGTCTGGGCAACCTATTCCAGTGCTCTATCACCCTCATACTGAGCAACTTTTTCCTATAATCTAACCTAAATCTCCCCTTTTCCAGCTTCAAGAGTCCATTTCCATAAATCTCCATTTCCATTCCACTGGAGCCCATTTCCATCTGCTCATTCCCTGCCTGGTCAACTGCTGGCTTTTCAGGACTTTTGCCAGCCCCAGAGCTACAGCAGCAGCTCACAGGCTGCTCCAACCTGTACACGTGGACATCTGCCTCGTGCTGTGCCAGAGCTCCTGCAGCAGGGACCTGGCTCCTCCTGGCTTTCCCTGGGGCTCTGCTCTGCCCAAGACTCTCTCTGCAAGCTCAGAAGCCATACAAGTTAAGAGCTGATTTCTGACAGCAATCAACTTTCATCTGGGAATGGCATCCAACGTATTCTCTGCCTGAATATCACCCATTTCATGCTTTCCATTTTGCTTCCTGATGTTCCTAAGAACTTCTTGTGATTCACCGAGGTCAACGTATCTTAGTTACAGAGGAGCTCTGCAAACCTGAAGCACTCTCCAGCTCTCCCCACCCCAGCACGAGTAGGAGTTGGTGTTTCAGAGGCTAAACAATGCACTGGGGGAACAAATGGATTTTGCTTTGTGCTTCTGAACTCTGTCCACACCTGGGCCCTGGGGAAAGGGAGAACAGGAGGCAAAGCATGGGGGGGAAGAGGGGGCAAACACTGCTTGATTTTCATCCTTCCAGCACAGTCACAGCTATAAATGTCAGCGTGAAACAGGCTTAGAGAAAGATCCAGAGCATTTTGGGAGCACAGACAGGCACTTTTTTAACAAAACACTGCTTAACAAGGCCAAACTCTTGCTAGGTGAGAGGAAGGCCCAGGTGGGCTGGTGTCTGAGATAAAAGCACGAGCTGCCACGACCATTGCTGGCATTAACTGTGGGATCTGCCTGCATTGTGCTGCCACTGGAAAGGATGTTAAAACACGGGGGCTGAGCTGGGCTCCTGGAGAGGAACAACAATTAAGCAGCCTTAGGAAGTAATTGCAGGGACTGGCAGTTGGGAGGAGGTGGCCGCCTCCTCGCTGGGGCTGCTGACAAGGCTTATCTCCCTGCTAATGGGGATGAATGGGACCTGACGTCAGCCCACAGCAGAGAGGATCCCACCAAAGCCTCCCACACCACGGGGTCCTGGCCAGGAGACAGGCCCTGCTCCTGCCCCACTCATTCACAACCTCCTGTCAAGCTAGGCAAAGAAAATGCAAGCCAGAAAGTCCAAGTGGCATAAGGCTTTGAGCTGTCTCTGTGTCAGACACGAGGAAAACAAGCCTGAAGGACAGCTCTGGGAGCACAAAGCTGGGATTTCTTCATCAGCAGGAGTCCCTGCCTTGAACAGCACCGTGGATGCTACCTCCCCATGGTGCACAAGAGCCTCATTCTCACCAGCACTGCCCACAGAGCACTAACAGCGTGGCCAGGGTCAGGGGAAGTCAGGTCCTACACCAACCCCATGCTTAGAGGGCCTTCTAGAAAGCTGAAGTCCCTGTTCAACAGTCAGGACCCATCCTATCACCAGCTATTACCCCTGGGCAGACCTGCCAGCATCACCACGGATGCTTGTTCCACTACAAACCCATCCAGATGCAGCCCTCAGCACCCAGCTGGAGGTGACCCTGCTCTGTGCAGGGCTCAGCTGGACCATCTCTGGGTTTTTCTGAAGGATGTGCATGAATTCTGTCCTGTGATGAGTGACAGCCTGAAGGTCCTGCAGGCTGCAGCCCTTCATGTAGGCCACAGTCAGGGATGGGATGGGCAGCAAGCAGTGCAGATGGCAGCCTCAACTCTGCCTTCACCCATTTTTCTTTACCTGGACTCTCTCTAGGAGGGGGAGACAAGTCTGTGCCAGGTGCTCAGTGCATCCATGGCAAAAGCCAGGCAAGGTGAAGCACCAGGAAGCCTGCAGGAAGAGCATGGAAACCTAACCAGCTCACACCACACCATCTCATGCCTGATTTTGGCAAAATCCCCAGCATGATGCAAACCTCTCTGCCCATGCTCTCGCTGTGTTTGCTCAACAACCCACACTCCTCACTCCCCCTCACCCCCCACCCTCTCAAGCCCCCCCATGTCACACTTGCCAACACAACAGCATGCAAACAAACTCCCCCTCCCTTCCTTCACCCACGCACAGCTTTTCTCCCTGAACACCCACACCCACTGCTGAGTGGAGAGCAGGACTCTGCCAGTTCTGAAAGATCCTCTCCCTCCTTTCCCCTTCCTGCCATTCCCCATCTTTAGAGCAGCTGATTGTCAAGCAACGCCTGGTCACCAGCAAGGAAGCTGGAAAAATGACCACCCCAAAGCTTTAGGGACCTTTCAGTTCTTGGTGTTGCTGCTCCTGAGGTCAGACCCTTCCACGAGATGGACAGCTTCATCTCCCTCCTTTTACAGACAGATGGACAGCTTCATCTCCCCCATTTTACAGATAGATGGACAGCTTCATCTCCCTCCTTTTACAGATAGTTGTGATCACCACTGACCCCAGCCAGGTTCCAACAGCTGCTACAGATGCCAAAGGTCTGGCGTTCTTCCACAATATCTCACTCCCTAAATCATCCTGTAGAGCAGGGGAAAGCAGCAGCTTGCTGTCCCAAATCACCCCCTCCTCACCCTGTGCCCTCTAAGGTACCTTCCACAGCAGCACCAGACTTGCCCAAATATATTTGCTCTGGAAACACTCATGGATGTGCTGTGTTACCATCCCCAAACGTGACATGGTACTTAAACAATGCTGAGGGAAGCAGCTGCTAGAGGCTGCACAAAACACTCATCCTGGGGTCCTCCTGCCAGGGCTGCTGGGTCCCCCCATCCCCTGCACCCTGCTGGGCAGGGGACAGTCACCTGGCACTGGCACCCAGCCAGGCAGGGTACTGCTCCCAGCTCCATCAGGGGGAGGTTTCCCAAAGGTCTTTTAGCAAAACTGCAGCATCGGCTCCCTGCCAAAGCCTTCCTGGCAAAAACAAACCTCACCATCTCCTGTGAGCTCAGCTCTAGTCTCTGGGGGCATAAAGCAGTTGATGAGGGATCTCTCAGCCCCAATCCCATCTCCTCAGGGAGGAGCACAGGCTCATGTGCAGCACCCAGCACAGCCACCCTGGCTCGTGGTGGAACGAGAAGACTGTCCCATTGCTGTGAGAACACATTCCTTGGCTTGTATCAGCCTAGTGAATTCATTTCAGCTCAAGGATATGCTGCAAAGAGAGAGAAAGGGGAGACCAGAGAACCATCAGGGACTCTGAGCCAGATGCTGTACTGCAGTGGGAAGGAGTGAGACATAATTCTTCCAGCCCTATTGTCCCCTAAGGCTCTGATGCCAAAGAAATAGGAGAGGGGAAGATTTGCTGTCCCCTCTTGTTTGGTTGTTAGAGGCAGCACACGTGTGAGGTGTCAGCCCAGCTGCTGGAAGCTGCAGTTGTCTGTGCCAGACCCTGCAAGGCTAATGGGGGAACCTACCCTGGCCAGAGCAGCTTCACTCCCCTGCTCACTCAAGGAAGGAGGGGGGTGTTCAGCATCCCTGCCCTGGATGCACAGAGGGACCAATTAGCTCGGTGCTCTCTCAGTTGGTGACATCTTTCACTGAAGAATGGGCTCCAGTCTTTCCAAGTGATTTCTCCCAAGCCCAGTCTCCATCAGCTGATCACAAAGTGTGCAGGTCTCCTGATCTGATGAGGAGTCACACTGCTGATCTACACACAGGAGCCTCTACAGCTCTTCTACTAGTCCCCCAAACCACCACCGTGCCCCCTCTTCCTCAGCTCTTGATTAGTTTTGTGAGCAGGTCAATAAGATATGTACTGGTGAATTTGGGTCAACAACAAATTTATATTTATTTAACAGCTTTCTTAATCATATCACAGTGCACAGTTAGCTGTAATGGAATTTTCAGCACTTGAGAATAAATCCATAGCTGGTCAATCTGGAAGCAATACAATGAAACACTTTTCCCATGGAGTTGCTCTGAGGAGATTCAGTGTCACGTGAGGATGACAGAAAAAATATGAAATACTGGAAACGTACTGCAAGGAGCTGGATAATTTTCTGACCTTCTGGTCCTGCCCACTAATGCATGTTCCTGAAACATCACTTCCTGAGAGCTGACCAGGGTCAAGGAGGAATCACTTTCCTACAATAACAGAGCACTGAACAAAGAGATGAGTGCAGAGCTTTTATTTTGTGGGGGATTTGGGAAGTTTGGACCCTTGTGACAAGTTTGTGTCCCCACTGATGTCCCCTCTGTGCTAAAGGATAAATCCACTGAAAGAGCAGTGTGTGCACCCAACACAGGAACCCCTTGAGTGGTGAAATGACCCCAGAAAGCAACATGCCAAGCAGCCCTGAATAAACCCAACAGTGTGCCCAGGGTCAGCTCTGTGCTGGCTGCCCTGATCCCCAGTGCCAGTCCCTGAGCCTGATCAAAAACTCCCTGAAATCATCATAAAAACTCTAAAGGGCCTGGAAGAACAAAGCAGAAAAATCTTTTCCTCTTCCCCAGTTTTTGATTTTGCCAGCTCTGCCCTGCAGAAGCAGGAGGAAAAATCCTCCTAAATAAGGCTCAAGCTGCAGAAGAAACAAATGGTATCTATGTGAAGATAAAATTAACACTTATCACTAAAGAAAAGCAACCCTCTAGAAGCTCCTATTTAATGGATGGGCACTGCCAAGGTTAGTAGGCCAAAAATATGATGGTTGTTCCCTTCCTTTGTTTGCAGAGATCACAGGCTGCTCTTTGTGCCTTCCTCCTTGCCTCTCAAAAGAAACCACCCAGAACTGTAATTGTGTGTATATATAGAGAGCTATGTACAAAAACTGTGCCAATAGCCCAGAGCACTTGCAAACAACCCTACAGAAGGCTCTTTAGAGGAAGCAGATGGAGGTGGGATGTCAGCTGGTGTCAGGAGCTATTGCTCCACCAGGGATGGGTGACCCAGGAGACAGGGCACTAGGTCAGGAGGGGATCTCCAGCCCATACTGTGCCCTGGTCCTGGCCCTCAGCAAATCTTAGACCTAGAGTTGTCCCACCTGACTTTAGCTGCTCAGTTGAAGCTCCTCAGGTAGGATGACTGTCAATCAAGTCCTCTTTGCCATCCAGGAAGAAGCAGAGAGATACCAGTGGGCATCTTCTACAGACGCTCATCTCCTGCAGCGAGGAGCAGCAGGAGCCCAGGCCCTTCCCTGTAGCCACAGGGGAAGGATTTGTGCAGGAGGAGGTGCCACTGCTGTGAGGATAATGCTGGGGTGGCTGAGGGGCTCATCTCCCACAGCAGTGTGGGCTATTAGAAATAAACCTTGCTGGGCATTGGCCACCAGCTGAGAAACTGTCCCTGGGCTCTGGCAGGTGCTTCAGTAACAACAAGGCAGGGTAGAAATCAGTGAGTGAGGAAGGGTTGGTTTGAACAACATCAGTCTTCACGTTAGCTTTGGCTAAGCTTATTTTGCTAAGGATCTCAGAGGATTTAATGAACTGTATTTAAGCTTCAGGATCCCTGGGGAAGGAGAACACCTCTAGCTGCAGAGGAAAACAAAGAGCAGCGAGGGGGATGCAGCCTGGCTGAGCACACACCTATGCAGGAGTGTTGTCAAACCTAGCAAAAACATTCAGCTTTCAGTCCAGCTGCTGTGCAGCAACACAGTGAAGCAGAACCATGAAAAAAAAAAAACCCTCAATCCACACACTTGAAAGAAACAATAAATGTTCCTCTCCAAAAACAATAGTCAAAGTCAAGGAGCTGAAATGAATCAGCTGAAACTTTTATGGGTAGAAATGTGATTCTTACTTCCCTCTCAGTGTGCTTTTGTAAGCTTTCTTCAGCTTCTACCAACCCCTGCCAGAATCTGCATATTCTCCTCTTTCAAGTTTTCATTAATTTTTCCACTGGGAAAAATAAATAATCCATTCTGTGTCGAGCTCTTAGGCGGGGACCCTGGAGTCCAGGCCTCCCTTCTAACAAAACAAGCACCCCTGAGAGCACCCAGGGCCCCGACTCCTGCTCTGACTACTTTTCATGCTGTCACCTAGACACAACAAATACACTTGGCCCTTGGGAGAACACATTCAATGGAGATCTTCTGGTCAAAGCCTCACCAACGGACTAAAACCCACATCCATCCTTGAGCGCTTCATGAAGCATCTGGGCTCTTCCTCACCAAATCCCACCAGAGCAGGGTCAGAAAGAGCTGATAACTCACTTACCCGAGCAATCAGCTCCCCGACCATCCCTGTCCAGGTGCCATTTGCCTCGGGGACTCCATACACCCCATCCCCAACCAGGTGGATCTTATAGTTGAAGCGCAGGATCTCCGCCAGCTCCTTCAGCATGTCCACGCAGAAGCCCTCGTAGCGGTCGTTCCCTTCCAGCTCCTGATGGTTCCACTTCAGCATTAAGTAAGGGTTTTCCTGCATTGAAACTGGGCAGCTGTCATTCCCATCTTAGCCAAGGTGTCCCACCAACACAGCACTGGGCAGTGGCTCACAGAAGGGGCACCCAGGCCAACCTCCCATCCCAATATATCTTGACCAGCGTATAAAATTTGCACCCAACTTGGCCAATTCCTGTGATTTCATGGGTAGAAGGAGCAACTGTCCCCCTCAGCTTACCAGCTGGACTCAAAACAACATCATCATTCAAAGATGAATGTAAAATGGGAACTTATCCCCATCCCAGCCCTCTCCCCAGCTGCCTCCAAATTCACCAAATATCATTTCCATATGAAACATCAACTGGAGTTTAATTACACTGTCATGAATTGTCCTCAGTGCTGTAATTAGAGATTTGTTCCTCTGCTCTTTACGAGATCAGTGTGCAACGCTGCGTGCTGGGGGCCACGGTGGGGTAGGAAGAGGGAATAATATTCCAGCTGAGGGATATCCCTGAATTTGGGCTGGCGAGGAGCTAAGGGGAACCGTAGGTGACCCCCTCACTTACCAGGATGGTGGTGACAATGAGCGTGGTGTTGAACAGACTGTCTGATATGTTGGAGGAGAAGATCCTGTTGTCCATGCTGAGGCCTTCAGTGACGTGCCAGTGGCCGATCTGGAGAGATGAGGAGCCCCATAAGGGAATTTACAGGACAAATTTCAGCCCACACCTGCCAGATGGCCCCAGTGACTGACAAACCTCAAGCTGGCCCTGGATGAGGTGTTATGAATGCTCCATTACCTTCTCACTGCATCCCCACAGCAGGATAGTGGAGAGATTAAGCCACTGGTGCACAGCCCCAGCACATCCCCACGGGCTCAGGGACACCCAAAACCTGTCCCTGTCTTTTATGTTCCCTACAAGAGCCTCTGGCTTTTCTGATGGATAGACCAGGGGCTGAGAGAGGCCAGCTGCCCTCAAGACCCCTTCCCTCTCCTTTTCCTCCAAGTGGGCACTGCAGGGTCAGAGCTACACCCAGGTTTGATGCTGAGCTCTTCACACGGGTGCTGTGTGCTACAGACACAGCTTGGAAAAGACCTTCAGGAAACGCTGAATTCTCATGATGTCAGAGTAAAAGCCCAGAAATGGGAGATGAGGTTCCTGCCTCCAGCTCCTATCCTGCCTTAGGCTGTCTTTGTAACTTTGAACAAAGGTTTCTGCTGCCTGAAAGCAAGCAAAACCTCCTGCTGTCCTCCTGTGAGCATCACTGCCACGAGTTAAAGGCTGGTGTAGTTCCTCAGAGGAAAAAGCCACTACACAGGGAGCAGCACAGCTTCTCTTGCAGTCTCACAGCAGCAGTGCCAGCACGGGGTGGATGCTTTCCAGCCCTGACCAGCAGTTCCACCTTGGCTGCAGGTGGAGGGATGAAGTCACGTTCTCAGTGGTGCTGCACCGTGACTCATCTCCTCGATCTGCTACGACGGGTGCCAACTACTATGATTAAGTACCTCCAAACCCTTTGATTCAGGCTCATCACACCCAACAGCTCCACAGCCAGCCTAATTCACCCACCCAAGCGTCAGCGTCACTGCAGCAACCCTAATTCCCAGCACTGATGGTGGGGACCAGTCCCCCCAGCTCTTGGGAGGATGTTGTGACTCAGCTGTGATGCAAAGCCATGGCAGCTGCCTTCAGCCAGGGGGAGGAATATTCAAATCCATTTAATTTGAACTTCAAGAACCTAATCTCCCTCCTTCAGAGCTCTGGGCAGGGAGATCAGCACCTCCAGCAGCTCAGTCCAGAGCATGCAAATGAGGCTCTCACTCTTTTATGTTCCCTACAAGAGCCTCTGGCTTTTCTGATGGATAGACCAGGGGCTGAGAGAGGCCAGCTGCCCTCAAGACCCCTTCCCTCTCCTTTTCCTCCAGCAAAGCCTCTCTGCCCCTGTCAGGTCCCAGCCCTCTGCCTGCTGGATTTCTGGCCACAGCCTAAGTCCTGTGCCACCACTGATGTGAGCTGCTGTGGCCAGAAGAATTAATGGGTGACCCAAATGACTCCTTTCTGCCCAAGAGTAATCTTGTTATGTTCAAAGAAGTGAGTGGGGGGTGGTGCTGAGCTGGGGGCCAAGCAGGTGTGCCTCTGTGGAAACAAACAGGGAGCATGCTGATTTACACCAGCCAGGACTGACTCCTCAGCTGCTTATCTTGGCAGTGCTTTGCCTCTGGCATGACTGATGGCTCGAGGACTTCAGAGTCACTTCCCAACTCATGCCTCTGAGCCAAACGTGACCTGAAACCACACACTGCTGTGCTGTGAGCAGAGTGAACTGCTCTGGATGCTGAGGAGGGGACCAAATCCTTGCTTCTCCTGGATGTTGGTGCAAGTCTGGCCCCAGCAACTGAGAAGCTGTTAGAAAAGTGGCTGAGATGAGTCCCAGATCCAGCACCCTCATCTCTACATCAGTGGGAAGGGAGACAGCTCACACTTGAGGGGTCTGCAGAAGGAAGGCAGGCAGGGAAAGCAAAGCAGGCAGAGCCAGATGAATCCCAGGGAGGGGGCTCATTTACTCTGCAGGTAACACAACAGAGATTACTCCTCCACGCTCTCAGCCCAGCCCCTCCACCACCATTAATAAAGCTCTGCTAAAAGCACCTGCCAGAGCAAGGACTTCAGAGTCTGTTGGAAGTACTAACTACAGGAGGCTCCCCACCAAGAGCAGAGACACGGGGGGTTGTCAGCCTCACCTGACAGGTGGGGAGATGGATCACACACTGATGGAGTCCCTGAGCATGCTAGGAGCAGATCTTGAGCCTCCTGTCCTCTCGACTGCTTGCTGTGGCTTAACTACCACCAAGGTCACAGCATCACAGTGACACTTCAGTGCAGGACTCACCTCTGGAAGCAACAGTCCCAGGGGGAGATGTCCCACGTTCTTTGTGGGCAGGGAGTCCTTGAAGCACAGCTCTGAGTGCCCTGCATTGGTGTGAGGGGATGGATTTATCCTGCTGCATTCCCCAACCCTGCACAAAGGTGCTTGCCTCTCGCTGGCTGCTACACACACCTTCTGCAGCAATTGCCTCTCAGAGTGAAGGATCACTCAGAAACACTGCCTCATTTTTTCTTTTCCTCCCTGATTTCACAACCAGAGATTAGTGACAGATTAACTTTAATTTTAACAGCCCTCTCTGTTCTCAAATTTGTCCCTCCCCTGCTGGCACACTGAGACTAATTGACTGCCTCCTCCTCTGGCAGCACAGTGGGTTTGACCTTGCTTTTAACACAGCACCAAAGCCAAACACCCCCCTGTGCTGGGGCACCTCACCCCATCCTGGCTTGTTCCAGCTCACCACTGTCCCCCTCTCAGTATGACAAAGCCACTAATTGACTCCTCACACTGTTTGCTGTTTCTGAAGTGTCAAAGGATGTCTGGGATGGTCAAATCCCTCCCTCTCCTGCAAGATGGATGTCAAGGTGATTTTAATCATCTCTATCTATGTATAAATGGCCTCTAAAAAACAGAAAACACATTCATCTACAAAATGTTTTAGGAAACAATCAAATGCTCTGCACAGATGTGAATAAGATGATCATCTTGTTAAGGCTCTGGACTAGGACTTAAGAGTTTTTAGGAGTTGGGATTTTTTAGTAGTGGATATGATTGGTCTGTATAAATACACCAGGTGGAGGAGGGCCCACAGCAAAGAGGTGGAACAGCTTTTGAAGCTAAAATGATAGCGTTGGCACAAAAATAAACAGATACAAACAAGCCAGAAATAAACAGGCTGAAAATTAGAAGAGGGTTTCTAATGATCCGAGAAGCTTAAGTGCTGGCACACCTTTCCCAGAAGAGCAGCAAGGGCAACACAACCACCTGCTTGCAAGCTGGAGCTCGATACCTTTGTGGGAGGGATTAAATGATGGAGAAACCTCCCTCCACGTCCTTAGGCTGTGTGGTTCCACTGCAGATGCCCACAGCATCTCCTGGTGCCTCCCTGTGCTCAGCCCTCTGCCTCCACCCCATGCAGAGCCAGCCCCACTCTGCCCAAACTCAAGGCAGGAGGTCACAGGCAGGGAACACACACACAGTTTCACTGCCAACCAGCCCACAGGGCCTTCAATAAGCAAAGAAATGCCACTGCTCGTGACACTGCCCCATCCCCACAGGCAGGCAAGGTCCCCCACATCAGCTGAGTGGCAAAAGGTGTTATTTGGATCAGTGACACTCAAAGATTACCCATCTCTGGAGAAAATCACCAGTGGTGAGTGATGGGAGTGGGGCATTCTCAGCTCCCTCCTTCAGTCCTTTGGCTCCTCCACTCAGACACAGCCACGTTAACCATGACTGGGCTTGCAAGATGACAAAATAGCACTCAGACTAAAGATTTTAATGAAAGTCTTCTGCTCAGTGCCCTGCAGACCTGAATGGCAGCAGGGAAAGAAGACAGAGCAAGACCTCTCCATAAGCTTTAGAGGCACCACAGGTACTTATCACCCACTTTCCAGCTAAAAACTAAAGTAAAGCCAGTCTTGGATTTGAGAGGCAGGGAACCACCACTGTGACAAACCCAGGATACCTTCTGGGCTCTGATGAGCAAGCACTGCCCCACAGCTTGCATTTGCCTCCTCCACTTCCCCCGTGTCCCCAGGAAGGGGAAGGAGTGCAATATGCTCTCATCTCTCACCAGGTCTGTGTTTGGAGAGCCTTGTCAGCACTAACAGGAAAGACACTGTGCCAGGAGGACACTATGAAGTAGATCCTGGGTACATGGTGCCTTCATTGGCCCAAAGGGGAGAGAACAAAACAACCCAAGGAAGGAAAGTCCTCAGAGGACCCTGCACAGGTCTGTCATGTGGTTGGCACTCCTGCACGACACTGCTGGGAGGCTGATGCCACCAAGGCAAGCAGGCAAAAAGCTTCCTCCATAGCAGTTAGCACAGAGTGGCAACTATTAAAACCTGCACAATCACCAGACACAGACACAGAGCTCAGCCCCAAGGCCACGAAGCAAACCCCACCACCCCCTTCCTCCCCTGCTGTCCCCTCCAGATGACATGACTGACACCTGGCATGGACTCCATAGGGGCACAGACCGAATTCACCAGGATCTGGAGGGGAAAAAAGACATGAATCTCTTGGTAGGATCTGTCCCTGACCTCTTGCTGAGGGTAACAGCTCAAGAGGAACAAGTCCCATCGAGATTGATTAGCTGCTTCTAAGTTAAAAAGCTTTGATGGGGTAGGGATCATGGAGGGTCTCAGAGCTATTGGCTGGTAATTCATCTGTATCTCATCAACATACCAATTAGATATCCCCATCACTTGCCCTCCTCTCTCTCAGGATACTGAGAAGGATTTCAGTTCAACAGCAGCTAACTGGCCCCAGCCCCAACAGCATCTTCCCCTGCTCCCCTCTGTCCCTTCTTCACTCCCTCCTGCTCTTTAGCTTCCAGACCTTAGCTCTTGGTTTACTGCAAACCACTATATTGAAACTGGAGGGGTGTGCTGCAATTTTAAGAGGCAAAGAAAGGGGAAAAAAAAGAGATGACATTTATAAACTCAGTCCTTGTCAGATCTATGGATCACCAGCACATTAATGAGCCTGTGCTTTATTACGCATCCTGTGAACAGAGAGCAGCTCTCATATGGCTGAGGAAAAATTTCCACTAGTTAAGCTAAATCAGGAAAAGACACGTTTGGTGTGTTACATAAATGTATTAAAAATTGGATGTCAAAAAGCCCTGTCTCTCCTTGCCCAAAAGCAACAGCAAGTTAGAAAATCTAAGTGTCTCTAATTTGTTTGCTAGCTGGATCAGCTTCAAAATTTGGTGAATACTCTATCAAAGCTGATGAGCTGGAAGTCCCTGTGGCTTCCATAGATGGAAGGAGAGAGAAGGGAAGAGAGAAAGAGAGAAAGAGAGAAAGAGATTAAGGCAGAGAGCGTGAGCTTGATTAAAACTAGGAAGGGAATAAAAGTGTTTCAAACAAGAGTCTGAGCAAATCAGTTAATACAACCCTTGGGAACGAGATTGGCTCCAGGAAGCCAATGTCTGTTCCTTACCCTGTCCCCTCACGGTGGGTTTAATTAAATGAGTTCTAATTATTTATTTAGTCATTTTTATTATGAGAGGCTGTGCTGGAGAGAAGAAAATAACCCTCTATGGCACAGCAGAGTGGCCTTTGTCTTCCCTCTGCGGCGACCGAGAGGGACGGGCAGCATCAGGCAGGACCCTGCCTGGGTTTCACAGCTCTGCCTGGGGATGCCCTTGCAATTCAGGCACAGCATGACAAACTCCTGCAGCCTGTGTGGGGCTGTAACGCCCCTCCTGGCATTGCTATCAGTCAGGCAAGACCCCTGAGAAGGGGAGAGCAGACGGTGGAAAGGCTGTCGCAGGCATACGGAGCGGTTTTATGAAGACTAAGTCCTCCCTGGTGAGTTTTTGACAGGAGAGGCCTTGCAGCCACCACAGGCTCTCAGCAGGCAGCTGCACACGCTGAGGGACTGCCCCGTCCTTCCAGCATCTTGTTACTGTGACTGGAAGTGATTTATCACCCTTGCACTGTGATGGGAAACTGGGGAAGCTTAGTCCCAGCACAGCTTTCCTGGGCACCCCTGAAACACCACGCTGCTCATTTACAAGCTGTTGCAACAGGTCAGAAAAGGGTTTTCTCCTGTCAGATCAGGGAGAAGAGCTGAGATTTTTGTCTCAGGGCAGATGAGGCTACAGTCAGAGCTGCCTGTGGTGCTGTGAGAGAAGAGGACCTAGGCATTTCGTGTAAACTCCCTGCCACACAAACACAGCAAGAACGTTGCTGCCATGGGGAGGTTTCCAGCATTTGCTTCCTTTGCTCCAGCTCAGTGCATGCTCTTCTTAATGCAGACAGGCTTGGATCTGTCACTTTTGCTTAGAGTATGATGGGTTTGGGAAATGATTAAAAGGGCATTGGTGCTATGAAAGATCTTACCGTGGGGAAAACGCCATCCTGATCCCCCACTCACTCAGCTAAAGGCAGCATTCAAAGCTGAGCTATCACTTGACAGGTAAGACCTGGCAGGCAACAGCCTTGCCAAGGCTAAACTTCACTGCTGCCAGACCAGGAGAGATTTCCTCATGCAAAATATGCTCTGTTGGTGTGGGATAAGATACAATAGCTTTTGTTCTCGGCTCATGTCTTGGAGACGTGGCAATCTCTGAGAAAAGGGCAGGTGTGGAGCTGTCAGCAGGGGAATAAGACAGATGAAAACCCTTTTTCTTGGACTTCTGTTGTTTCAGGTTTTTTTATTGCTGAATGAGGTTTGGATTTACCAGTAAAACCCTAATTCCTTGGGCTTGTGTCACATAATCTCAGCATTTTGCTATCTGTGGCCTCAAACGGTTATCCTTAACCTTAGCAGAAGCCAGAAAATATCCCTTGGACAGAAAGAGAGTAGCAAGCAGAAGAAGAACCAACACTTTGAGGATTCTACAAGCATCAGGATAAAAGCCACCTGAGAGCCTGAGCAAAACAAACACGTTACAGAGCAACGTGCACCCTAAACCAAGAGATTATCAGAGAGTGGGGAGCTCCTGAGACGTCACTGCCCCATTTGCCTTCCCTTCCAGAAGCAGTGGTTTGGAAAGGTTCACAACCCCCTTTTTTGCCCATTTCACAGGAAATTCTCCCCTTTCCCCCCTGTTATTTCCAAGTACAGGTGTCCCCCCAGAAGCTGCTGGAGCAGGGGCAGCGTGGCCGCTCTCACCTGCCGGAACCCCCCACGGGTGTGCTGCAGGATCTTCAGGGCATAGTTGGACCTCTGGCCTTTGCTGTTGAATTCGATGTGCCCGGTGAGACCTTCCAATTCTACCTGTCCAAGAGAGAGTGAGTTACAGAGCACAGCAGGGCAGGGGGTGGGGGCCACCTGCCCACCCCATGGCCACCCACCCACCCAGCACAGCTATGCAATCCTTGTGTCTCAGCCCTCATTGATGTCAGAGCCTGGCTAGGGTAGCAAAGGGATGTGAGGGGGAGCAGAAACTCCCCACATTTCCTTCCTGCAGCTGCTTTGGAGCAAACACCTCTGCACCCCACAGCTGCCTCCCCCAAGGTTAACACAGAATCACAGAATGTTAAGGGTTGGAAGGGACCTCCAGAGATCATCGAGTCCAACCCCCCTGCCAGAGCAGGGCCATCTAATCCAGGGCAGCGCACCCAGGAACACAGCCAGATGGGTCGGAAAAGTCTCCAAGGTTGGAGACTCCACAACCTCCCTGGGGAGCCTGTTCCAGTGCTCTGGAACCCTTAAAGTAAAGAAGTTCTTCCTCACGTTGAGGTGGAACTTCCTGTGCTCCAGTTTGTGTCCATTGCCTCGTGTCCTAGTGCAGGGCATAAGTGAGAACACAGTGGGGATTCCACTGAATGACTAGTGGGGGATTCCTCCACAAACCATTCTGGGCTGGTGTTTAACACAAGAGCAGGTTGCAGAGGAGCCAGGGTGAGTGTCTAGGCTCACTGTGCAGATTAACCACTACTCACTTGCTGCTGGAGCATCTCTTCATCTAATAAGGGCAACCAATTGGGTCTCTTAGCAGCAAGGGCAGGGGAAGCTGAAGGATTTTGTTGTCTCTGAGGCTAAGATTTAAAGCAGGGTTCACCTGCACGGACCAGAGTGGTAGAAGGTTCAAAGTTCAGCTGAACCTTCCTTTAGGGGAGGAAAAAAAACTCTCATGACATTTCAGTTGCACCCAAACATACTCAGAAAACATGCTGCTTCTGCACAGTCAAGCTCAGTTCTCAGGAATCCCATGGACAAACTCTATTTCACACAGCTGAAGTTTCAGGGTCTGTTCTCGTGCCAGAACTAGGCTTGATTGGTTCCCACAACCCCACTTTTAGGTTCAAAGGAGCCCAAACTCCTTCATGGGAAAACTCACATCTTGCCACTCAGCCACGAGCAATTGTGCTGCATGACCTTATATCAACTCAAGTTCACTCAGAACAGAGCTCAAGTCACTTACAAACAGTCATACTTTAAAAAAAACCACCCAGTCATTGAATTCCAGTTTTTCTGCAGCAAAGCCTGAAAAACAGAGTTTCATGTTGTTCCAAGGCCAGTGACAAACCAGCCCTCAGATCTCTTCTCTTTTCATTCCCAGCCTTCAAACAGACCGACCCTGCGCTGGGGAACTGTGCCAGCACCACACCTACACACACATCTCCTGCTCCTGGCAGGGACGGGCACCAGCTCCGACCTCAGAAGCAAACTTCAGTCCCTTCTCACCATTCTCAGGTAGTTCATCAGGCTGGTGCCGTGCTGCCAGATCTGGGCAGAGCCACAGGACAGGGGCTTCACCCCGATCTCCTGGCTGCGGTTCAGAACCACAGCGTACACGGCGTCGAAGAGCAGGGCAGAGGAGAGCTGGGGGGGAAAGGAGACAACCCCGTTCAGAGGGGAAGAGGAAAAAACAAGCCTCCCAACCCCACCTTCAGGACCTTGCAGCAAGCAAGAGAGGGCTCCATCCACAACCTCCAAACCTTGCCTGCCCCGCTGCACCCACCCGAGGACAGGGAGACAGGGAGAAGGGTTCCTCAACTGCTGTGCCTGCAAAGGCATCACTGGGGCAAGTGTGACCCCTTTGCCAGCCCTAGTCCCACTCCCAGTTTGTTCCCTTTCTCCTCTTCTTGCTTGCTCCCTTACCCTTTATGTCTCTGCTTGCTTGTTTCTCAGGCTTTCTTCCATCACTATCATCTTTCATCTCTATTTGTCCCCATCCCTTCCCATCGTTTTCTACCTCAGTTTCCTAAACTAACCCCTTCAAATCAAGGTGTGGGGTTTTTTTGGTGCTTTGGTGACTTCTGATCTCTCTGCTGGCCAAGGGGAACACTCCTGAGAGCATCAGCTTTGTGAAGTTCTTAAAACAGGCAGCTGGACAGAAAAAAAGACCCTGTTGCCTGCACCCACAGAAAGAAAGATGACTGTGCTGGCTCAGCCTTCATTAGGCACCAGAGAGTCCCTGTCTGTTGGTTGCTTTGGGGAACACTCCTGAAAGCATCAGTTTGTGAAGTTCTTAAAACACAAAAAAAGACCCTGTTGCCTGCACCCACAGAAACAAAGATGACTGTGCTGGCTCAGCCTTCATTAGGCACCAGAGAGTCCCTGTCTGTTGGTTGCTTTCCAAGGCAGAGCCACAAAGAATGAGATTTTGCTGATTTGCTTCTCAGACAACTGAGTCCTGGCTTTCAGACCCCATAGAGACCATCCAGTCCCTTGCTACAGGCTCCAGTTTCCTGCTGGATTTTACCTGCTCTGTAATAGTGCTGCTGAAGCAACGTCCAGAACCACAGAGGTCGTCCCCTCTCCTTCTCATCTTTGCTTTGTTTGCCTTGAACCAGATTTCTTTGTCCATCAAGCTTCACAAACCCTCTTTTTCACCCGTGCACAACCACTGCAATGTTCCTGATCTAGTTACCAATCAGCCATTTGCTCCCTCGTGTTCACTGTTGTGACTAAGATTTCACTTTTAATTATTGTCACCTCCCGACTCTGCTGGAATTAAGCTGCTGCAGCTCATTGCCATCAAGGCCACATTTTCCTCACAGCTACTTCCCAGAGCATCCTCTTGCCATTCCAGCTCCCTGCCACAGGTTCAGCCTCCAGCCTGGGGCTCCTTTCCCATACCTTACACTTTTTTTTGACTTACAGCACTTCAGCAGTACCTGCATCCTCTGTTCCTCCCCAAGCCTGATTAGGTTTATTCACTTCTGCCAGTGGCCCTGCAGGGACAGTCTCACCCAGTTCAATCACCCCAACAAACCTTTGGATTCACCTGCATTGCTAATTTGAGCAGAGTGAGCCAGATTTAACCCTGCTTGATCTTACTCACATCAGTGGTAAGACCTCATTGACCACACTGGCCCAGGATTAGGCAGTTAACAAGCAGCACAAAACCTTAAAATATACAAGTTAAAACATCAGTTAAAAGGCACAATTCCAGCCCAGTGACAGCAAAACCTCAAACCCCAGCTCCTACAGCACCAGTAACCTCTCATTTTTCCAACCCTGCTACAGCCTCACATTTGCTCTGTCACATTCCTCCTGCACATACCAGTTTCATCTGTTTTATACAAATAGCACCCAGGGACTCTCCAGTGACCACTGAGAAACTTGACTGGCATCTGCCAGTGCTGCATCTGATCTTTCTCCCATGCAACAGGCAGTGCTTTTGGTCATGTATGTTGAGAGCTTCCTGCTAATCATAAGGATTGACAGGCTCCAGAGCTATGAAGGTTTATTACAGCTGGTGAACTGTAACACCAGAAAAACTGAGGACACAGAAGGAATTGGTGGCCAAGTGGGAACAGAAATTGGGTCTCCTGTTGCCTGTCCTGCTGCAGCTGTGAGACACCACAGGTCCCTCTGCAGTGGCAGCAAGCCTCTCTCCTGCACTCCTCTTCTCTTTGGGGGTACATCTGCCAAGGTTTTTTGTTCAGTATTCACATCTGACCTAGACATTCCCCTCCTGGGGGGAGCTGAGAGATCCTCCCTTCCAGAGCTTCTCAAAGGAGCTGATATAGCCTTCTCCCTGCCTTTCTTTTTTACCTTCAATGCAAGTTCTTTTCCTCATGGGATGCCTCTAGCCTGTCCTCAGCCCCTATTCCACAAAGTGCTTTAGCACATACTGCATTTCAACCATGTACCAACTCCCAGTCACGTTACAGGGCACCACACACAATTAGCAATTGCTTTCCTGAATCAGGCACCACATTAATCCCTGTTGGCCAAATGAAACGGTTATGAGAGCAAACGCAACCCTACAGAGCCCAAAGTTTCACTTTCTCACACCAAACCAGAACGTTGGCCCAGCATTTTTAATTGTCTCCTGGTGGGTTTTCATTTCCATTTTCCCTGAGCAGTTAATGATCTCTTATTAGCTGGTGAGCAAGAGACTTGTAGATCTCAGTGAAGCATTTGACGTTATTGATTGGAATATTTTACTCCTTAGCCTCCAACAATTTATTAGGATTTCTGGCAGCCCCCTTATAATTTTAAGCAATTTAGAGATTGAAGAGGGGGTTGTGATACACAGGATCCAGTTCTCTTGGCAGAGAATGAGAATCCTTCCCATGTCCTCAACATACCTCTTTTTTTTTAAGGAAAAAGCTCAGTTTTTCTCAGAAGCACTGCATTTCCACTCCTGATGCTGCTTACCAGCCACTCCCTGCCCTGGGCTCACACCTAGACTCCTGTGCCAGCCTCTCAGTTTCTGGGACCTGGAGCAGGGCACCTGGATGCACGGGAGCCTGGCAACACAGCAACATCCAAGTGAACAGACCCTTGCACCTCCTTTTAAAGCTTTGATTCACCCCCTTCAATGCTTCTCATACAGCTGCCAGGACTCAGACCTAGAGAAGTTCATGGCCTTCACTCTGTTCCTTCCTCTGGGACCCAAATCCTCTAAGGCACTCTGTATCTTTCCATGGTTGCTGGTGTGGGATTGTCCAGCTCCACCCCTGCACAGCTACTCTGCCAGCAGTGCTGCTGCTCTCCCACTTATCTCTCATCTCAAACCACTGCAGCATTTGCCCTCTTGCCCTGCACCACCTACCTAATGGCCACCTCTCCCTGCCACTGTTAACTCATAAATCAATCACACTCAACACAGCCAAGTAATTTGGGATGTAATTTCCTCCCTGGAGGAAAGCATTCACAATTATATAGCACCCAAGTGCAGCACCTCTTCCAGGTTCTTTGGTCTCTCAGGCTTTCACAGGTAGGCAAGTGTCTTCTCATGAGGTTAAAACAAGCTCACTGCTTCCAGCTATCTCCTGCCACCCAGAAAGTTCAGGTGAGGACTGGGTCACTTGAGCACATCACTCCATCTCCCTGCAGTCTTGCCTGTGCTGGTGGTGGGGGAAGTGAAGCTGCTTGACTTGGCACTGGAACATGATCTCTGCTGCCTTGGGGCCATACCCTTCTGCAGAAGAGCAGAGACAGAGCTGGAGGCAGCACCTTGTTAACTTCCTCCAGGCAGATGCAGCAAGGGGGATCTGTCACTGCTCTCGTGTTCATCGCCTCCACTTCCTTCACGTCGCCTATAAAATCTCTCTCTTTTTATGTCCTCATTTTTAACCACAGCTTTGTCACTCTGTCACAGAAAGCCAATTTCCCTGTTAACAAATTGATCCTCTTCCTTGCGTGCATCACCTGATTTGTGCAGATCCCTCTTGCTTCTGTACCACCGCTGCGATGGGAAGAGCTCTGTGAAAGGCCTGGCAAGCTCAGCACTGCTCCTCCTCTTGCAGGTTCATGAGTCTCAGGGGACCTCCCCCTATATCCCTAAAGCCCAATTCTTGACAACATGAAATAAAAATTGCCTCTTGATGGATGCCTCCTCAGAGCAAGGCTGCAGAAGGGGGAGCAGATGGGCTCATTGCTCCCTTCCCCTCGGCACACTGGCCAGCTGCACGAGGAGAGGCTGTACCCCAGCACTCAGGTGCACAACCAGGACACAAAGCCCTGGGAACAACTCCCCAGCTAGAAAGGGTCAAGAAAACACATCTCCAGCCCTGTGCACATCAGCTGGCAGGGCCATTCCCACCAGTGTCACTGTGAGGGATCAGTTAGTGTGACAAGCAGCACTGCTGGATGCCTCAGGAGCAGGCTGGTGCCTGAGCTCTAGCTGGGTACACCACAGCTCCTGGCTGGATGCTCCACACCTTCCCCCCAAACACCAGAGCTGCCCCTCCAGAAACTAACAGCAGGTTAAGCACCTTTAAATGGAAGATGCCACTTTCTTTATTTATGGAAATCTCCCACATAAAGGACACATTGAAAGGTAAGTTGATCTCCAGGGAAACATCAACAGGTTTGGCTAAGTCTGGCTTTTGCTGCGTGGGTTTTTCTTCTTTTCTTTCCAAAACGTTATCATCTGTATCTTTGCCCCCAAACATAACACGGGGAATTAAAACCATTAAAATCCTGTGAAATAGACTTTACAATCTGGATTTTATTCAATGACATAAACACTTAATTACAAACATCTGTTTTAGCCTAAATTCTAATTACCTAATCTAGCCATCTGTAATTTGAATGATTTTCTCTGATTTCCTTTCTTTGCAATGTGATTAATGAGAATGGCATTAGAGCAAGCAGCTCCCTCCTCCTCCTTCAGAGGCTTTCTCATCTCTAGCAAGAAAGCCCTGGGATTCTGCAGCTCACAGGAAACCTCCCTCCTGTCACTTCCAGCTGTTGAGCTTCCTCTTCTGTTTTTAGCATGAGCTATCCCACGAGGGATCTGCTTCCCAGGACTAAAAGGGGAAGTCCTTACACAGACAGATGCTCTCTGGGAGATGAGACCTGTCAGATTTCCACCAGCAGAGACAATGCATGGCAAAAATAGTGCTGGATTTCCCTTGCAGACACAGCACATGCCCTGTCTGGGAACATTTCACCTCACTTCTTCTCTGTATCTTCACCACCCAGGGCAAAACCCTTTTTTCCATCCCCTGGGACATGGCATATTGGTGATGGGAGCCTTGCTATGAACACAGCATGAACTTTGGCATCACCAGAAAGAAATCACCTTTTGAGTAAGACTCAAGCCTAGGGTCTGAGAAAACTGAGCTCAGTTTCCAACCATGCTGCAGCTGCCCTGACTCTAATATAATGGGAAGAGTCACTTCCCTTCCATGCCTCCATCTCCCATTTGTGCCCCAAGAATAACAGTCCCTCCTGAAAACCACCTAGCAGAGGCAAAAGCAGCCACCAGCCCCTGGGCAGGTCCCCTAAAGACAGCAGGGCTGGGGTGGTTCTGCTCAGGGTGATGCAGCAGAGCCAAGCCCTGCAGACATGCTGTCCCCAGCCCGGGAGGAAGGCTGCTGTATGGCTGATTACTCTTTATAAATGAATGAAAGCAGCATCCAGCTGACTTAATATCACACTGATGGGTGATTTAGGCTCAGGCTCAGAAACCAAACAGCTCCATTCAGCTCTGAGCTCCCTCACTCTTTCAAAAAGTGCTGCAATGAGGTATAGACTCTTGCAGCCTTCCACCTACAGATTTTGCTGATTGTTCAAGACAACACGAGCAGGAAGGAGCAGTGAGATCAGTTATTTCCCCATCACACCTGCTACACTCCTGTCCCAACTGTCTTCTGTTTGTACTGTTGGAAGGAAATTGGAAGGAAATTTATTTTTAATGCCTCCAAACAGTCCCTGCAACTGTCATCCAAAGGGGAACAAGCTCCCTGGTAGTGATGCTGTGGAGACTGAGCATGGCAGGCAGTAAGCTCTGCCCAAGAGGAGGGAGAGCAGGATGGTCCCAGGCCTGTACCAACCATGGTCTGAGCTCCATGGCACGCCAACAGGGTGCAGGCACAAAGAAAGCAAGCTCCTTATTTTGCCTGCTTATGATCACTTTGTAGTGATAATGGGGAGGTTTTCAGCAGCACACAGCTGCCTCAGCTTGTCAAGGGGACTGAGTTCATTAAAAAGGATGCACAGAGCTCCACTGATGGCATTTTCTCTCTCTCTCTCCCCTCCCCCAGCCACAGCCCCCCCCCTGCATCTCTGATTTGGCAAATCTGCTTTGCAAACCTTCCCAGTTACGGAGACTCCCTAGGGAAGGTTTCAGTGCTGATCTGCACACTCATCAGGGAGATGTTAGAGCACACAACATAAGACAGCCCCTTGGCATCTGCCTAGGGCCAGCCCTTCCTCTGCTCTTTGTACCCAGCCTCCTCCCTTCCACAAGCCATATTCCTCCAAGTAAAAAGCACAGGGACAAGTTTCACAAGGGAAACACTGAAGCAGGGCTGCACCATCCCCTGTGCTCACATACAAATATAACTCAAACTAAGATGAGGCTTGGCTATAAAGCTGTGCAGGCATTCCAGCACAGACAAGCCCTCTAGAGCTCTACACCTGAGGGCCCTTGGGGTGACCAAAGGCTTTCAGGATGGCTTTAGTATTCTCCACATCAGGAGGCTCCCCTGTAAGTCACAGCTTAACACCCCTACCTCACTCAACTAAACGTGCTCTGTCTGGTTTATCCTTCCCATTCCTGGACCACCATCTCCCCAGGAGTGACAACCATGAAACCCAATCCAAGGCAGAGCTGTACAACAGCAGCTTGGTGATATGCTCGAGCTCTTTAGCACAGGGATTACCTGGATTAAATAATTAGACAATACCATGGACCCATACATTTGAAACCAGGGTTTCTACCTCTGCACAGTCTTCACACTGCATTGCTCAGAACCAGCCTGCAGCTCTTTTCACAAGGTCTTCCTGATGGTCTAGAGCAGCTTCCAGCTCAGGGAAGCTGGGGGTGGTGGCAATGAATTTTACTTACTGCTGGTCCAGTGAACGGAGCGTGATCACAGTTCTCCTGCCAGGACTGGTTGAGGCTCTGGACAAACTCTTGGAAGAAAGCATGAGACTGGTTGAAAATGGAAAATCCCAAGATGTTGACTCTGTCATCCAGCAGGTTGTCCAGGCGCTGGAGGGAAAACTCCTGAAGCAGCCCAAAACAGAAAATGGGATTAGAGAAGAAAACAGGCACCACAAGCTCCAATGGAAGCAGTTACACAACAAAGCCAGTTTCCAGGAGAAGAGTCTGTCTCTCCTGGTCTTATTAGCAGGAAATAATGGTGCCTTCCTCACTAATTTCTTCCTTTTGCTAATTGCTAAAATGGAGTGAGAGGGTGGGAGGAATAGCTTCAGAAAGTGCTGGACGCCCGCTCTCTTCCATCACTAATATGAATGTCTCTTGGCTCTGTGGGCTATGAGATTTCTGCAAGTCAAGTAATTTTTTACCTTTCCTGCTTATGTGTGCACGTAGGAACAATGTCTGTAAATCTCTGAAACATGGAGTTACAAGACTATCCCAGCATGGCAAGCTCCCACGAGAATGTGATCAGGCACAGGATTAAGTGCATTTTGGACACAACCACATTAACATTAGGTAACATGAAATTGCCTGTGAACTATTGATTCATTTGAATGATATTATCCTCCTGCCTTCCTGACAGGTTATCCATTTACCCACGGCATCCTGTCAAGCTGCACAACGAGGGCAGATGGCTAATGAGGACCCGGGCCTGAGGAGATGCTGGATGCAGCAGAGCAGCAGGAGATAAGTTGAGTCCCTGCAAAATGCCACCTCCCCCCAGCCAGGGCCGGGAGACAAATTGTGCAGGGCACCAAGTGAGCAGCAGCCACACGATTGCCCTCTTGGCTTTGTCCTAGGCAGAAGGAAAATGAGATGTTGCATACCAGAACAGCCACCCCGTCCACGGCTTCAGTCTCGGGCCAGACCAGCCGAGTCTGATGGCAGCTGAAATGAGTGCCTTTATTCATTATACCTTCTCTCTCCTGGAAACATTTCTAAGCTTTTGAGGTTTCTCAGGGAGGTTTGTTATGCTCTGCCCCTTAAATTAGCAGTTATGAGGTGAGGGAATGAGCCCTGCTGGCCTCGCTTCACACGGGGGAAACTGAGGCAGAGGCGCAACTTGCCCCAGTCACGCAGCAGTTGCAAGGCTGACCCCATGGGTCCAGTCTGCTTGGGCTGAGAGGGTCAGTCCCAGCCCCCAGCTCAGCCCCTGCACAGCTTTTGGGAGGGACCCCTGCCCACATCACCCCCTATTACCCTGGGGACAGGCCCACAGCCCTGGGGATGGAGGCAGCTGCCAGACTGAGGGGCTGCAGGCAGACCTGGACACGCTCCCCCATGGAGTTAACAACTTCATCTGCTTCAAATGTCAACAGCAGCTTTCTCCCAGCTCCCATTAGCCATGGCTGGTCATTGCAAGCTTTGGTCTTTTCCTACTGTCAACACTCTCCCTATCTGTCTTTTTCTAGGCAAGCTTCCAGCTGCAGAAACTTCCAGCTGCAGCAACCCCCATTTCTGTTGCTCATAAAGCATCCACCTCTGTAACACACACGGATCCTGTGGCCTGTATGTGACCCTCTTCCTGCACAGTTCCCCACCCCTTCCCTCTGCTCCAGCATCAACCCTCTGCCTTGAAATGTTTTTCCATCAGATGTGCACAAGAGCATTCTGCAGACCCAGGTCAGAAACAAGCAAATGAGCCATGAGCTGCCTCTGCAATGAGAAGGAGATAAAATGTCTTTAGGGGGCATGCTTCATTTGCAGTGGGCTAAGAGAGATTTGGAAGGGTCAGACCTGCTACGGAGGGCAAAGGGATGAGAGCATCCAGATATTCCAGTAGGTGCTGGCTCAGCTTCTGTCCCTGCCTTTTTCCTCTCCTACACAGTCATTCACCACACTTGACATTTCCAAACCCACGTTTTGCAAACACAAACTCATCTGCCCTTCAAGGCCTGTCCCACACAGCTGATTTCCAGAGCTCAAGGCCCATCCATCAGCTCTGCTCCTACCTCCCTGCCTGCCCTCTCCATGGAGCCTCTGATGCTGCCTTGCCAGGGGTGAGCACAGTCAGAAAAAGGGGAGGAAAACCTTGTTCTTGGCAATGATCTCAGGTGGCTCCTCTCACCACGTTTGCAGGCATGTGTTGACACGTTTACCTTTCCAAAGATCAGACTGAGGTAGAGAAAAACTGTCCATACATGGCTCTGTAGCAGGTGCACAGGGATTCGGTGTCAGATCCAAGGATTTCTCACTGAGACATACTGAAGCTGACTTTTGCCTCAGCCAGGAGAAATTTTAAGCCCTTCCTGAACTTGTCTTGATTGCAAGACAGAGCTGATGGGGCTAGGGCTTACAAGGAATAGTCTCACAGCCACCTCTCCTCTCCTCGTCCAGCTGCTCTCCCTTATCTGCAGTGCTGGCTGGTGCTGTTGCAGGCTAGAAGAGAGCAATCCAAGGCCCTAAGAGCACAGAGCCATTAGGAAAATAACTCATGCCTGTCATCAGATTCTGTTTCAAGGGGGACTCCACGCCCTGGTGCACCTTGCCCCAGCATTCTCTGCCTGCATGAGTACAGCTCTGTAGCTATGTGCTCTCAGCCAAGATCAAGGGACCTGGTGAACACAGGAGGGTGCAAATCAAAGAGATGGGCACCAACAGAATCTCCCTCTTTACATCCTATTCCACTGACAATTTTTTCCCCCCTCCCTACACTGGAACAATTGCAATAGTTGACCAGCACTTTGCCCTCTGTCTCAATTCACCTCCTTCATGCCAACCAGGACAACCTGTGGCACAGAGAAGACCATCAAAAGTCACTCCAAGGCGAATTTCAGGTATACAAATCCAGGCTGCCTGAGTTCTTCCCTCTCTTTGCAGTCTGTTTTTTAAAGCACCCACCAAAAGTCAATATTCTGTTTCATAAGATCCCAGAAAAAGTAGGCCCTGAGGGTCTGCAGCCAAAATTAATGAACTTTTCCAGAAGAGAAATCCCCAGGCTTTGCTCAAATCACAGCAAATTCTGCAGCAGCACCAGGCAATTACAGTGTAGATCTTCTGACTTCTACTACAAGGCTGCAACCACTAAATATGTGCTGTTAAATAACAACACTTAGCAATTCTATGGCACTCTATATTTTCAAAGTGCTAGGCACACATTAGCTAATTGAATACAAAGGGGTTCCCTGGGAAACAGCACTGGAGGAGTTATTAGAGGATGAAGTCACCCTTAGGTTTCTGTGCTTCACGCAGCACTCGACCTGCATTCTCACTTCAGAGCAGCAGACAAAACCCAGGGAGTGATCCCAACGTTTAGATCATTGGGAGAACCTGGCTCATAAAAGCCACACAGCCAAGCTCTATAATTCATTATTTTAAAGCCACGAGCTTGGGTTTTCTGGCGTCGCTGGCTGTGAGTTATGATCAGGAGATTTAGAGGCTATAGTCTCCATTCCATTAGGAACATAAACCCAGAAGTGTGTTACTCAGCTCAAGTCTTTTCCCTCACACGTTTGGATGACGTGCAAAGTCACACTGCATCCTGAGCAGGACTTGGAACCCACAAGCCCTCTCCCACCTCAGCCCACAGCAGCACCAGGGCTCCTGCAACATGCCCGTGTGTTTCTGGTGGAAATGCCCCTCCTGCCCTGTGACACAACAGCAGGGACACGCTGCTCCTCACGTTGTCACAGCACAGTGCTGGGTGAATGGACAAAATCACTGCTGCATTGTCCCGTGGGGAATCCTGTGCCCACAATTTAGAGGGGAAAACTGAGGCACAGAGCAAAAAGTGGAAAGTGATTCAACACCAGACAGCACAACTGAGCCTGAGAGAGACACAGATAAACAACAAACCTTACAATGCTCAACATCCAAGCCAGCATTCCTATTTAAGCATATAATCAGTGAAATATCCTCCCAAATCTGCACTTCTGTGATCCACTCCCAGAGCAAAGCAGACCCCGCGGATGACATCCAGATCACACCCTCCCTCCCGAGTCTGGGAAGAAGCTGGGGACTTCTGGGTGGACAGCACCCATCGAGCAGGGGATTATGAGCATCACAGCAGCCTGCTTGATAAGCCCATGTTTTTGCCAAGTATGGAGCTGTGAAGCCCTGACCTGGTGTGTGCTGTGGTCTCGCTCCAGCGCCTGCCTCCCGGGGACCGCTCGCCCCGCGGCGGCTCACGCCCAGCCTGCTGCTCAGCACTCTGCAGCAGCTCCTCAGCTCCTCCCAGCCCCATCGATTTCCCTGGTGATACAGTCCTGCATCCCCTTTGTGTGTGCAGAACCTCGCTCCCTGCCTCGATTCTTATCTCAGGTTTAATAACCCAGCTCACCCGGGAAGCAGGGAGATGGCAACTGCTGCTGCGCCCCGCAGGCGAGCACACAGATAAGATCATTTCATTGCCAGTGACTCACAAGACCTTCCCACACCTTCCCTGGCCTCAACCCATCCCAAGCCCCTGGAAGGAACTGGATTTGCTCAGTTCAACCCACACTGAGAGTCAGAATGTCCCCCTCCCTCTTCTCTGTTGCTCACACACAGAGTTCTCTTCCTCTTTTACTTGCTGCAAGGACTTTATTGGAGTTGTGGTTCTGCTGATGAGCAGCCTCCAAAAGACCCCCTGGCACTGTCATTGCCCAGTGCTCAGCAGGAGAAACTCCAGGTGCTGTCAGCTCATCAGGCTGCACTGTCCTCAAGCTCCCCTCAGTCCCAGCCAAGGATCCAGCCCTCTGACAGCAGCCCAGGCTGATTTACACCAGGAACAGGCCCACCCTGGGCTCAGAACACACTGTGCTGCTCCCTCTCCATTTTCACCTGGGATGGGAAGGAGAACACCAGGCCAAGGCTTCCATTTCTCTATTAAGACCTCACTCTGGCAAAACTTCCATTTCAAGCCTATTTGGTGCTCAGAAAAGCTATTACCCTCCAGACACAAACTTTCAGTTCCCATTTGGAGATTGCCTGGCAGCTTTTATGTGAAAACCAAACCTTCAGCCAGTGCAGAGTCAGCACCACTCCAGTGACTTCACTGCTGAAATCACTGGATGCCAACACCTCTCATTAGTCACCACTTTAGGGTTCACCAGAGGAGATGAAGTACCTCAGCTCTTGGTTTTTCA